AAGTTTGGAATAAGGGTCATATTTACGTCCCTCTCCCAGGAACAATATATCGTAACAGTTAGGAGACCCCATGGAGGATTTCCTTAAAAATGGTATTCACGTTGGTCTTTTTGGGGGCCCTTAGCTAGGGAACCCTTTAGGAAGATGGAGAAGAGCTGGAATGCTTTCATCTTGGTGGCCTCCTCGTCACACGCAGAAGTCAGAGGATCTCTGCTCATAAATTGATTGTTGCTTTTTTTTTTTCTCTTGAGTCTGACACTTTTTGATGACTATGATTCCCAGTTATAACACTTCCCATGAATTAGTGCCAAGGTCAAATAAAAATGTGTCCTACTTCGTCTGAAAAAAATTGTAGTTGACCTCATTAACTCTCATTGTTTCGTCTAAAAGATTCCATTACAATGATTTTCTTCACATTAGCTTGAGTACCGGCCTAGGCCGAAGCGGGTACTCAACGCTAATGCAAAAAAAAAATTATTTACATTCAATTTTAAAATTACAATTGTGCTTTTTCCTGCATCAATGCTACATCGATGATCATTAATGGAACATGCATGCCAGGAGTGTCAATCAACTGATAAAATACAAGAGCATGATCTATATCAGCAGTATTCAAAAAGCAGCCCACTAAGATGAACTAATAATTGACTTTTTCACATTTTACCGTTTTATTGGCACTCATGAATAATCGCGTTGAACATTTTTTTAAATCCCAAATTTGGAATCCTTTGCTGTAAACTGGCAGGTTTAGTCATTGTTTACATATTGAAATACTCATAATACATGTTTACAATTAGATGCTTATGTATTTATGTGTGCAGCTGCTGAACTTGCCTGAAATTCGGAGCATTCATGTATTGCAGAGAAAAGTGTCTTGCCTCGCAAGTAAATGGTGAAGTTTATGAGAAAAAAGGAGTATTTATCGAAAATGCAACTTGTGACAAAGTAGAACCTGTAACCGATACGTGTACATGAGCCCTGACTCAAAGTAGTGGCAATTTTTGTGACTACAAGAGTTGAAAGTGTGTTTGAATGCGACAGGAATAGGCAGTTTTTTTTTTCTTTCCATTTTTAAAATGGGACTTCCCATTTTAAGTAGCTTTACCAAGAGGTCGATGGCCAGATAAAGGGTTACCCATGCAGAAATGATGGATCTTTTTTAATGCGGCCCACTCCAGGTTGACTAACGTTATAAGTGCGGCCCACTCAAGGTGGAGTAAAGTGTCCGTGAGGCCCTCACCTAAAAAAGTTTGGGGACCACTGATCTATATGGACAGGTAAAAGAATTCGCTGAATCCAATATCATTATCCAAACGCAAAGACCTGAACCTGACGAGGGAATGCTGCTCTCCGGAAGACTGCAACGAATTCGCAGGAACCTGCTAAGTGCGGCTGAAGGCTCCCATAACTTCTTTTCAACTTCCTATATCTCTTAGAGGCGCGTTTAGGGATTCCCTAGCTAAGGGAAGAACGTGAATACGGTACCCCCAGGGGACCCTTATTTTCAAGCCTTTTCAGTCATCTTTTAGGGAACCCTTAGCCAGGGGTCCCCTAATTATTATGGGATCCCTTAGCTAAGTGAGAGACGTGAATACGGCCCTTCATTCCTAGCCAAAAACAACTAGAAATGATCACAGGGTTAGGCTGGAATATAGTGAAACCAAAACCAAAATCAAAATGTTATAAATAAATTTCGACTACAATCCTAGGGTGTCAAGTGTGGATCAGTAATCGGAGTAACATTGTATTTAATTTATGGCGTTATTTTATCAAAATATTTTCAGTTTCAAACGGATTCGTGAAGTAACTGTAACTGTAACCTTGTAACTCAGAACTGTTTGGAAATCACTTTAACCTCTTAGCAACCAAATTTAGCACTGTCATGGATTTGTTTAAAAAAAATCGAGCTCTTTGGTATTGTGGATGATAGTAAAAATAAAATAAAGGGGTGCTCCAAAGGTCATGAGAAAGCCTTGATTATAAATGCGCGTATACGACGTGCAAAATTCGCCAATGCTGCGCCAAAAAGGCCAAAAACTCTCGCGAGGCGTTTTCAGTCCCAGACGTCTTTGGATAACTTTTGCAAAATGAGTTACTGAATTTGAATTAAAGAGTCATAGAAATGCATGGGAGAGAGGGGAAGGAGTCCATTTAATTTGGAACAATCATCCTTTGAGAGCAGCAGAAATGTTCCCAAGCAGCATGTTTATGTTAATTTTACGTAAACTGAATGTACATTTTTTGTCCATTTTATATCTATTTTACGCAAACCATCATCAAGATAATGTCAACATGTTTCCAGAAATATCACCTCTGGAATACGTAAACGGTGATATAAAATTTACGTAAATTTTACGTAAAATTGACATTCCCGTTTACATTCCAACAGCATTTTTACATTCATTTTACGTAAAGTTGATGATTTCCCCCTAACATTCATGCGTATTTAACGAGCTAATTCGTACTTTTGAAGAGAATTGATTCACTGTATTTCTCCCATTCCTTTCCATACTTTGGAACTTAAGGTTACTTGGACGAGTACACGAGTACACATCACCAGCACTCAAGAGTACCGAGATGACTCACTAGTTCCTCCTCCCGTACCAGGACCTCGGGTTGAGGAATAGATATTTAGAGGAGTTCTCTTCCATATATATATTCATGGATTGCATAATAAAAAGTGAAAGGATGGTAAGAAAACCTGATACTATATCGGGAAAGCCAGTACTTCATAGTATTTGTAGGGTGCAGTTAAATTTGGTTGCTAAGAGGTTAAAGTGATTTCCAAACAGTTCTGAGTTACAAGGTTACAGTTACAGTTACTTCACGTCAGATGGAGTGACGTCTAGTTTACGTAAAATACACGGACACTGGTGACGTAAATATAGGAACGTAAATTATACGTAAACGCGATGTCATTTTCATGGCAATCGCAAGAAATTTACATTGTTTGGCAAAAATTAATATAATGTTTACGTAAACATGCTGCTTGGGTTCACCCGATTCAAACTCGTTTTGAGGGAAATTTCATGAAAATTCGGCACTTCGCCATGCAGAGAAATTTCGTACGATTTTCTCTATTATATTCGTTTTCTTTCTTGAAATACCTCCCAGAATCGACCGATTCATTGAATTTCCGAAGGATTTTTTCATTCACGATGAGTCAATTAAAAGCTCATTCTTGCTTTTGCCTGTCGAAACGAGAAGGAAATACCTTCGGTCCAATAAAGCCAAGATTAAGAGAGAAGCTAAAATTGACTTCGGGTCGGCCTCCGACATTGGCCCAAAATTGACCCAGCATTGGCCTATACTTAAAGTGCAAATTTGGTTCGGAATCCTCGCTCGCTTACGATCAATATATCAACATTTGACAATAACTAATATCGCCCCATAAATTAAATTAAGCATAATATTGTAAATAGCGAAAAAATTGGTGAGGTGAGGCCTATCCTTCACGTTTCGCCGGTCATCCTGGCCAATTTCACAGAGCTGAAGAAGGAACAGAGGGATTCAATCGGCGGGCTTCTTCCAGGACCGACCGAGGACTGCTGTCCATCCTTGCTCTCTTCGACGACCTCCTCGAGGATGCAGCGGCGCCCCCTGCGTTTCCTCCCGGGAACTAAGGCGGTCGCGAGGGGTATATCAAGGGGATTCCCCTCGAACCACGTTCCAGTCGGTCTCCGCACGTATTCCTCAGTTTCGTCCTTTTCTCTTTAGATCGCTTTGGCGAGTGAACACCGCAGTGGTCTACGAATGAACTACCTCCTTTTACGTCGTGCGTGTTATTTCTGTGGTGCATCGGAGAAGATGAGGGTATGTTGAGGAAGGGGGAAGGTGGAGGGGGGGGGGGGGCAGGGGAAGGAAGTAAGGAAGCGCCCCCTTATGAATAATTTCTGTATCTGCCACTGGTCTTCCATGAAAGCAAAGCATTAGCCCTATGGAGCCTATCTTAAAGGTGGTATGAATTCCCTTGATAATCACAGTGGATGTATGAATCATGGGGGAGGCGAGGAGAGGGGGTGGGAGGCCGGGGCGATCTTCTCTGTCACTATATAGCTCGTACAGGGTGATCCACAAGTCACGCACACCTATCATACAGACCCAGCAAACAAGGCTACGTTGGACCAACGTTGTAACAACGTTCCAAACGTTTATTCAATGCTGATTCAACGTTATGTGTTGAAAATTGTTTGCTGGAGACATATTTTTTTCCGTTTACAGAAATCATTTCAACAATTACAACGCATGTTATCAAGAACATGGTGAGCATTTCCAGCACATTCTGTGACTATCCGGAGTAGTAGTATTTCCAGGATATTTTGTTTGGTGTGCGTGATTTTTGGATCATATGGCATGCTCCTATTTAGCGGGCCTTCATTCCCCATGACTCATGCCATAGCGAATGAAAAATAACCAATTGAACTCCAACCAATTCTTCCCCGTTTTCTATCGTCATGGCGGCCATAATAAAAAAAAGCTTTCAGTATAGAGTACCTGATGTTTCTTTTGTTTTCTTTTGTCGTGTCTATTCATCTCTTGATAGACCAGTACTCATTTGTATGAAGACCGAAAAATCAACATGAAATTGGAATAACCTCGTTTTCCTGGAGTTCGTTAGTTCTCACCAAGATATCGCCCATTTCGAACGATGCCATATTCCTCATGGATGAATGGTTCCTCCTAGCCCACAGTGCTTACGAATGATTTTATGTTCACATGCTGATCCTATAGTGGGGAAAGTTCGTTATGTGATGGCAGACAGATCAGGGATTCCCCGCTTCCTCGTCTGAGGCCCGAGCCGGTTCGTCGTCGACGCTCGTTTTCGTTCGTTGACCATGTCGATGCTCTTCCTCGTCCCGGTGCAATATAATTTATTTGGAGGATCTCGATGTGATTGTTTGCAGCGGAATAGTGAGGTTAAGTGCTTTGAGAAGAAGTATTTCCGCAGTACTTAGCTGAAACGCCCCCCAAACAGCATGTTTATGTTAATTTTACGTAAAATGAATGTAACTTTTTTGTCCATTTTATATCATTTTTATGCAAACCATTGTCAAGAAAATGTCAACATGTTTGCAGAAATGTCACCTCTGTGATACATAAACGGTGATATAAAATTAACGTCAATTTTACGTAAAACTGGCATTCCCGTTTGCATTCCAAGCAGCATGTTTAAATTCATTTTACGTAAGATTTATGTTAATTTCCCCCTGGCATTCATGCGTATTTAAAGAGCCAATCGGTACCATTTTATATACAATTTATATACTGAATCTCCTATTCCTTTAGGTTCTTCAGAACTCGAGGGTGGTTGGACGAGTACACGAGTACTCATCCTCACCAGCACTTAAGAGTACCAAAGTGATCCTACTGCTTCCTCCTCCCGTACCGGAACCTCGGGAGGAGGGTGTAGATGGTCAAAGGAGCGCTTCTCCTTTCAGGAGAAGAAAGATGCAGTACTTGTAGGGTTGGGAATCTACTCTTCCCTAATCCCGTGCACTGCTGTATTAAAAAGCTTAGCCTCAGCATTTAATGATTACCTGAGTCATAAATTATAAAAATATATATACTAATTTCATGTTTTCCATATATATATTCATGGATTGCATAATAAAAAGTAGAAGGATGGTAAGAAAACCTGATACTATATCAGGAAAACCAGTACTTAATAGTAATTGTAGGATGCCACGCCGAAAGTGATGCAACATGATCACACGAAAGTCACGCGCTAGCGGCACTGGTGGATTACTCTGTGGCGCGCGCATCGGCTCGCTTCTCATCTCCATCCTGGAAAGACTAGGAGGGGAAAAAGTATGAAAAAAATGTGGAAACACCCTGAAGAATCACTCTATCGAGGCAGCATGGTCTTTACTTGCTGAAAGCACACAAATGATTGAAGTCCCGGCGGAAGTGAAACATCCCTCGTACGTTTTCCCATTGTCTCCTCAGCTTATCACACTGACTTCCGTCCGTCTCCTCAATCAGCATGCCTCCTTTTCCTTCCCCCGGATGACATGACTGGAAGGGCGTCAGCCCGTTACACTATGACATGCATATTGACCGCGAACTGATCGATCATGGTGAATTTTTGGAATTGTATGCAAAAGAGGTTGCATAATATTCAAATTTTGTAAGATTCGAGTGAATATTGCCAGAGATATTCGACTTTGACTCATTTTTGGAGGCCAATTTCTATTCAATATTCCGTAAGTGTACTTTTTAATAAAGTGAAATAATAGAATGCTACTAGGTTGTTTCACATGAAATGTCCGATTTTGAAGATGAGATTTAAAAAGCTATATTTTTAACAAATAAAATTTCATTTGAGATTTAAAAAGCTATATTTTTAACAAATAAAATTTCATTTAATCAAAATATGCTCCATTAGCTTGTCTTCTCCCAACGGGATACTAAGGAAAATATTCAATTTCTATAAAATTCTACATTTTTTGAATTAACAAACTCCTCAAATGCTCCAATTACATCCTCTCGGTCCCGGAATGTTTTATTCCGGAGAAACAGCTCGAAGTGACGGAAAAGGTGATAATCCGTTGGTGAAAGGTCAGGTGAGTATGGTGGATGCTGCAAAATTTCATAGCCCAATTCTGTTAANCAAATGCTCCAATTACAGCCTCTCGGTCCCGGAATGTTTTATTCCGGAGAAACAGCTCCAAGTGACGGAAAAGGTGATAATCCGTTGGTGAAAGGTCAGGTGAGTATGGTGGATGCTGCAAAATTTCATAGCCCAATTCTGTTAATTTTCCCACGGTGGTTCATGACGTGTGGGGTCGAGCATTGTCGTGCAGCAGAATCGGTCCTTGTCGGTTTATCAATATTGGCTGTTCAGTGGCCAATTTTTAATGCATAATTTCAATTTGCTGACAATATGATTCTGCTGTAATTGATTATCCCGGTTGCAAAATAGAATAGTGTATGATTCCCTTTGCAGACCACCATACTGTCACCATGACCTTTTTTGGGTGCAATGGTGGTTTTGGTGCATGTCTTGGAGCTTCACCAGCATTCAACCATTGTTCACTTCTTTTCCGGTTATTGTACAGGATCCATTTCTAACCCACAAACGACAGTTCGGGCTCTTGCAATAGACCTTGGTGTTTCTATTGCAACTGTTTATCGACACCTGGCTGCAATAGGAAAGGTGATAATCCGTTGGTGAAAGGTCAGGTGAGTATGGTGTATGCTGCAAAATTTCATAGCCCAATTCTGTTCATTTTCTCACGGTGGTTCGTGACGTGTGGGGTCGAGCATTGTCGTGCAGCAGAATCGGTCCTGGTCTGTTTATCAATATTGGCTGTTCGGTGGCCAATTTTTTATGCATAATTTCAATTTGCTGACAATATGATTCTGCTGTAATTGATTGTCCTGGTTGCAAAAAAGAATAGGGTATGATTCCCTTTGCAGACCACCATACTGTCACCATGACCTTTCTTGGGTACAATGGTGGTTTTGGTGCATGTCTTGGAGCTTCACCAGCATTCAACCATTGTCCACTTCTTTTCCGGTTATTGTACAGGATCCATTTCTCGTCGCAGGTAATGCTTCGCTCCAAGAATGGCTCTTTGTTGTTCCTGACCATCAGCGATGAACACACCTCCAGGCGTTGCAGTTTCTGGCTGTCCGTCAATTCGTGCGGCACCCATTTGTCCAATTTTTTCACCTTTCCTATTGCAGCCAGGTGTCGATAAACAGTTGCAATAGAAACACCAAGGTCTATTGCAAGAGCCCGAACTTTCGTTTGTGGGTTAGCTTCCACGATGGCTCTTAAATGTTCTTCATTCACAACAGATTCAGGCCTTCCTCGGGGTTCATTTTCGAGATTCATGTCTCCAGATCGAAAGTTTTCGAACCACCGCCGAAAGTCCGCTGGTTAGCAGTCCCTTTCCCGAACGCCAAGTCGATGTTACTCGCGGCTACAGCTGCGTTACGCCCCAATTTGAACTCATGCAAAAAAAAGTAGTCTCAATTCTTTTGAAGACATCACATTGTACAGGCAGTCCTCGACATATGACGGTATTCCGGGGAGGCCTCAGGCCTACATGTCAATGACTCCTTCAGCCCTAGGCTTAGAGCGTCCTAAGTCAAAGTGTTGTAAGTCGGAGCGTCGTAAGTCGAGGACTGCCTGTATAGAGAAAAATCGGACATTTCATGTGAAACAACCTAATATATCATCTTAAACATAGCTTCATGATTAAATTAAAGTACAGGTGACACTCGTTATACGTGCTTTTGTTATCCGCATTTTCACATATCCACAGCTTCATTTCAATGAAGACTATCACTATCCTTATCTGCAGGCACCGTGGAAGCTTCCACAATTCTCGGGAACGCAACCCCTGCGTATAACAAGAGTCACCAGTATAAGCCTGTTCTTTATTCTCCCAAGTTCTCAAGGAACACTCATTCCTTTCACTGTCCTCATTTTGTGTTATGGTTTAATTTAAAGTCCTTTCCTAATTTGATGATCTTGATCTCTGACTGTTTAAGCTGGATTTCAGGAATGAAATTCCTCTTGATCTTCCATTATGCTGAACAGGTATCCATTGAGGTAAACCCTGCACCCTCTCTGCCAATCAAGTTTTGGCTTTTAGATTCACAAGCATGATTACTTGCATTATCTGTGTAGTAGGTTGTGTGGCTCTTGATTATGTAAGCCTAGAGGAGTATTTTGGTATGTGACTTCCAATATTGGATGTAGACTAGCCTTGGCATGCAATTAACTCTTCGTAGTCCACTGGTGGACATAGTCTGACAATCTCCATAGCATTACAAATAAAATGGACCAGAAAGGGTTAAAAAGCAAAAAACAGCTTTGAATTGTGCACATATTGCCTTAAGATGACAAAAGTCAATGAAGAGCACGATTAAGCCATTGTAAGTCGATCATCTCATCTGAGCTGATTGTCATGATAAGGTTGTAATGTTGATCAATGTTGTTGGGTCTTCATGAGATCCATGCCTCCAATCCTGATGCATCCTGCATTCCTGCACTTTAGTCAGATCAATGAACCATGTATTCAATCTCTTGCCAGTTATGATGATGCATAATGATGTTTTCTCCAATATTTTTTTTCTGGGAAGGCTCCAAGATGCCGAGCAGGGATTTGCCCTGGTCATTGACCGCAGGACAGGACGGTGGAGTGATGTTCGCTCTACCCTTGCACGCATTGCTGTAAGTTCATTCAACAACTTGTTACAGAGTCTTGTGTGGGCCTAAGTAATTAACTAATTTCCTACAAGTTTCTGTGATTAATGTGAAATTGTAATTACCGAGGCTAAAAATCAGTAATAAGGATCCATGATTAGGAAAGATGATAATTCCAGCCAGTTGACTCTGTATTCATGAACTGTCCTTGCTTAGAAAGCCAACATGTTTTTAATCAGAAATATTTTTTCTCTAATCTGAGATATGGAGATTTGGTTTAAACTGTTTCACTTATTCTTTGTCACTAACTGCATTTTTTAAAGCCTTTTATGCCTGTGAAAATGTCAAGAATTCTTTATTTTTAAATTATCAAAATGATTGTGTTTGTGTACTCTGCTGCAGCTTTCATGATGGAGGCCCTTTAGTAATTTGTATGTATTGTTCTCCCTTTCATTTGTATTTTTTTTGTTATGCAGGGCTACTTCCCAGGACACATTCATGTCGTGTATGTCCTCAGGCCTCATGGATTCTTCCAAAAGGCTATTTTGGAGATGTCACAGAAGTTCTTCCCTGATGACTTTGACTACCCAGTAAGCAATGCAGTCATTATGCAGGACTTAATGATTTTGCTGTGTGGGCTATAATGAATGCAAACCTTGAGTCCATTTTTTCAGTTTGTTTAATTTTGAATACTCTCATTTCATCAAAATGCCACCCAAGCTATTTAGATGAAATTTCTTCTGTTGGGCTGCAGTGGCAGTTAGATTTTCAACATTTGTCAGATTGCCTGAATAAGATCCATCTAGGAAAATTGTTACAGCTCCTTAAAACTAGGGCTGTCACAATAGATCAATGCATCAATACCACTCTTAATGGTGGGAGGTATCGGTAATTTTTTCGACCACCGTGACGTATCGGCAAAATATTTTAAAGGGGAAATGTCCCATTGGATTGAGGTGAATACAGTCCATCTTGGCGGGGAAAGGGAGAGGCGGTGTGACCCGCATTTGCTCACAATTTATCACGATTTAATTCTGGAAATGCTGGGACTGACTATATGAAAGACTGGAAGGAAAAAAAGTGTGTTGAATCTGAGACAGGAAGTGGGAGAGGAGAGGGAAAGAAGACTGAGAATTTTATTTTTTCTGTTTCAGTCTTTGGCTCAATTTCATCAGTTCATGCTGCAGAAGTTGACTGTTCTTATACTCCCTTCATTTCAAAACATACAATGGTTAATCTTCTCTGTCTTTCTCTTTAGTATACAAGCTTAACTTTTTTTCTTTTTCATCTTGCCTTGGGGCATTTAATCTCTTTACTTAAGGTGAACTCAAAGTGAAATTTTTACATGGATGTTGCTTATTATCGGTAGTACTGATGTTTTCACAATCACCGGTTTTGCACCATTGCCAGGTTTGCTATCTGCCAGTGCCAATATTCTAAGAAGACTATGTAGAATAAAGAAATATAGAAAAAAATTACGTGAACGGGCTTGGCAACTGATTCTACACAGCAATAAGAAAAAATTATGGCTGTCCTGATGCATTCATTAATGCATTAATGAATGGATGTAATATTTGATAATTGGAGGTATGGTTGGTTTCATTACTCCTTGTGAAGGTCACACATTCCCCTCGCACATGCGTGAGATTATGGAAGACAGATAGAGGTCTGTGCTCTGATAGAGCCAATAAACGATAGGAGACAAACCTACACCCAATCACAGCGAGAAAAGATTGAATCCTCCTGCACCCCCACCTGATACATTGATAAACTATTGATAGTTCAGGTCAATGAATCTATGTTTTGAAAACTGCTATTGTGACAGCCCTACTTAAAATTGGTTGATACTCATTCAATTTTGATTAATTCTGAAATATAATTTGAACTTTTATTCAGTCATTGTGGTTATTTAAACTGATGTGTTCATGAGATAAGCAATTCTTAATGAGTGATGTCTGACAAGAGCTTGTGATGTTGATGGGTGGATTGTAGGTGATACTTTGTGATTCCACTGAAGACCTCCTGGATCGCATTGATCTCAGTCAGCTCCCTGCCTTTCTTGATGGAATCCTGTTGTATGATCAGGATGAGTGGATTGAGAATCGACTGGTAAGTTCATGCATTCGTTATCTATTGAGAATGAGACTACAATTATTGGGTAAGGCACCCAGTGTTAGATCAGCTACCTGTGATGGATCATGTTGGAACTTGGAAACTGATATTTTCTACTGTCACTGCTTTTCATCAACTGCCAGAAAAGTGAGACCACACAATCCATCACTGGTTAAAAACAGTATTCCCTTCCTTGATTGATAATTTTCTTAGCTTTGTTATGTTTTGTACTAACATGATCCATCTCTGGGTGTTTTAGCCTTCATTGCTTACCACCTATATTAAATATTATAATAATAATACTCTGCTCTGTTTCCTTTCAATTTATCAGTGTAATGCCTCTATCCAGAATTCTGTACACTTAGTTTCCTTTGCCATTTTCCTACTTCTGCTTTACATAAACTCTATATTCAGTGAAATTGCTTGACCTTTATGTTTTCATCCATTCATTTGTCCTCTGATTCACTTGCTCATATATATAGGGTTTACAACTTACTTAAAGAAATTTTTGTCATGATGATGCTGAACTGTTTATGAACTCAGCTAGGTTGGCAATACACTAACAGAAGGTATAATCTACTCTAGGCAATCTAGGACAAACCTTTGGGTCTTTAGGAACCAGAAAACTCACTATCTTCTCCATTGCTTCACTTGGTTCTTCCTTCTCTTGTGAAGTCTCATAACTTTTGCACTTTGTGTTGTCCTTCTCCCCATGGCTTTTCTGACCAAACACATTTGAATTCATTTCTTTATTCTCTTATCAAGGAAATGAATATATGTGAGCGTATAAAATAATAAGGTTCCCTATTTTGTTTTACACAGAACTATCAGAGCTCGCAAAATAATAAAAGTGCTAGAATAATTTTGGCAATTATGTTGAAGAATAGTTGATGCATATTTGTTCATCTGTCTGCATAATGTCTTGGTTGTTAAAATAAAAAAGTTTGGAGAAAAATATTAGGGAACCTAATTTTTTGATACCCCCTTGTAGATTGATTGAATATATTTATCTAGTTTTTCCTTCTTGGATACAGGAAGTGGAGGGATTTGCTGCTCAAACCAAGGAAATCTCTGACCATCTGGATGGCTTCTCGACACAACTCAGCCAGCTTCATCTCCCTCAGAGTGTGTTAGATGCTGAGAATTTTCTCACAGCACAGGTATTATCTGTTTTCCAGTATGGTTAAATCCTATTAAGTCTTTTAGATATACATGTGCAAACAATTTTTATTTTTGCTGTGCACAGGAGCACTGATATTTTCATATGTGCATTAGTAGTTATTAATAAGTTCATATATCTTGTAAGTCCATGTTCCTGTAACAATGCACTTCTGATTGAAGCTTCTGCTCCCATCAGAAGTGCTTATTTCTTTAACTGTAGTAGTATGGTTCAGAACTTGCTTTGCCAGGAAGGCTGATTATCAAGGGCATTTGGGTTGCTGAAGCAATGCCAGGGCTAGATTGAGTCTCAGTGAATGAGGAAAAGCTAGTTGATAGTATGGATCATTAGCTACTGCAATAGGCTTACCTATTGTGTGTTCTTGGACAAACAGGCTCTGATGCAAGAAGACCTGAACCAATAAACTAAGCCTTGTAGGAATGGGGATTCTATTTTTGAGTCTGAGATCCTGGAGAAGTGAAATATTTTGTGTTTTTCTGTGTTTTGACAATTCTAATGCATCATGCAGTTGGCCATGGAAAAATGAGAAAACAGTCTTTTGCTCTCAAAACATTATTTCCCGCTGAAAGTTTAAATTTTGATTGGAAATATATACACATGTTTTCAAGTTTTCCCAAATTCACTCACTTCTACCTGAAGAAATTAAGCATTCAATGCAATTGCTATCATATAAGGAAAATTGGATGTGCTCTTTTTTTCTAAAAATTAATTTTTGATAAATAAATTTGCAAAAAAAAAAAGAGGAGACAAAGTATGAACCAGAATAGGGTTTTGGGTACAAGGATTTCTTATTTTGCTAGTCATGCTGCCACTGAACTTGTTATGGTAATTCTGTGTGATTCAGAGGGAAGTTATATGCAGGGTTCACTCTAAAATTTTTAAATCTTGAGTCCTGGCTCCTAGCTTCAATTCAGTGGGAACATGTTCAGGTGGTTGCCAATGAGTCCCATGGACTTAGATGCTTTGTAAATATGAGTCAGGGACTCACTATAGCCAGTTAACATGAACCCTGGATATGCATGCTCACCACAGACTGAGATCAGTTGGTAATTTGTTGATTTTGTATGGATTTGAAAAGTTTTTTGCTGCTGAAAGGGAATGTGAATTAGCACTTGACAAAGATTGTGAGCACTTAAGCTTGTGATTTTTGGATGTTATGAAGATTATTCAGATTCATGGTTGTGCGCTGCCATACATGATCCCTTTTGAGTGATGCATATTGTGGGTGCAGAGAAAAGTGCATGAGATGCTGGAGGGCGACCTGGAAGCGGCATGTCAACAGGGGGAGTCACTGTTGCAGGCACTACGGAAGCCCTACTCAGCCAGTCCCTCCCTTGCTCCTGCCTTCCCTGGCCGTGTCCTCAATGTTGCCACTGTTCAAAGGTTCATTTTTGTCAGTCTTTTGTTTGTGTATGGTACATCTAATCAGTGGAATCAAACTCTCTCACACTTGACAAGATTGCTATTACCTTTTTTTTTTGTACTACCATGAGTCTGACTGCAGCAAAGTAAGAAGTACAATTTTAGAAAGCTAGATCCATTTACTCCTTTTATAGTGTCCCATTTCATGGGGGAGGGAGTTTCTTCTAATGCTAATTCTAAGGGACCTATTCCTATTATTTGGATTATTATTTTCTCTATATTTTTTTGCTCTGTAGTGATTCTTCTGAAAATGATTTCATGGTAGGAGTAATTTCCATATATGATTCCTCAGATCCAGACATTTTCATGAAAAGTAGGAAAATAAGTGAAATCTAAAGGTATCATGCATGATACCAGGAGTGTGAAGATGTTAATGACAGTTTTACTTTTCTTCCTCTCTGGTCAGGATCATATTGCAGCTGGAGGAGACACATGTACGGTTCCAAGGGTTCTGGGTGGAGCATTTGCAGCGTCTTGAGGACTCCCTCCTCCATCTTCACTTCCAACAAGATTATTACCAAATCAGGGCAAGTTCATCAGTCAGAGTACCTACAGACCATGGGTAGTGTGTGATATTCAGCAGTAGCGGGTTGTCAATGGGTTGTCAGGATATCCCCTGGCCTACCCTACATTCATGGGCAATTCACTTCTGCTGAATGTCACGAGCCACCACTGCCACACCCCTGGAAAACTTTGAAATTTCAAGCATGATAGGCAATTGAAAAGTCCCCTGACTTTTTTTCCTACCATTATTTCCCCTTAGAGTTGTCCTAATTTATAGATGATGGTTTGTTCTTGCAGTGAGAATAATTTATAAAAGCTTTCAGGTGTATATCTCTTTTCCTGTCATTTTCTTACATTTCTTCATTCAAGGTGGCCTGATGGAAGACTCAGCTCAGAGCATTGATGGTATTACTGGGTGTCCCATTGAACATGGAAGATTTTAATAGCATATAAAGTTCTTCCTGTTTGAGAAAACTGAACAAAATCTTCACAACATTTAGACTACTGTTTAGCATTTACTGTGAAAATGTTTCAAATCAAATGTGCCAATTACAAGCTATGAACTTCAATGTGGCCCCTATCGATTTCAAGCACCTCTTCCAATCATTTGTGGTATTCAAGCAGCATTTTCTGGCTCATTTCAACAGTAATATCTACAAACACAGCAGTAATTCATTCCTTCAGTTTGGGAATGTCCCTTGGTTCGGTTGCATAGACTTTCAACTTGACAAAGCCCCACAAGAAGTTGCATGATGTCTAGTCTGGAGAATAGACCGACCAGGGCATTGTCGGTGATCCACAACCCATCCATCAATCCTGTAACTTGGTGCATCATGATTTTTGCCAAAGTCTGCATTGAATCGACACTGCACTTGCACAAAACTTTTAGTCCATTCATACCAAGCAGCACACTTAGCCTACTTGTTAACTGAACTCTATTGCTAAAAAAGTCGAAGACCAAACAATTTTTGGGCTTTTGAGAAATCTAGCCTAGCCACAGAAATGTGTCATGGTGGATGTGAGGGCCACTTTCATCCAATTGCCACTGAAATTGACCACATCTTAAAAACTATTGTATTTAAAAGTGCTTGTTGTGGGATGCACTGACTGAACTTTGTCATAATAAATGCTAAACAGTTGTCTAAATGTTGTGAAAATTTTGTTTAGCTTGCTCAAATAGGAAGAATTTTATACATGATTAAAATCTTCTGCATCCAATGGGACACCCTGTATTTGTGAAGAAAGGTGGAAAGGGCAAAAAAAATTACCAAAGGCTAAATAATGTTTCTGGTCAAGAATTCTTGTCTTGCGGTGCAGTTTTTATGAGATAAGTTGTGTTTGTGATGACTATCTTTGAGACTCTCAACAGCTTCCTTGACTCAGATTTTCCAATTTAAGTCCATCACATTGTACATGTTGCAGCAAAACGAATGATCATTTGAGGCCTGACAGCTGTTGAAGGTCATGAGAAAGAGATTCCATCCTATAAATTATTTTTCTTTTCAAACATTTTGCCCCAAAGCAACCTCAACATGAACTAAGCCTTCTGTTGGTGAACATAAGAGACGTTGGATCAAGAAGGTATGAAAATCACAAGAAATACACATTTAAACTTCCACAAATTACTCCAGTAGCCACAGCAAACCATCTCATCCAAAAGAATACGGTCAACTCTAAGAGGAACTAATGGTAGGGGGGAAAAAATGTCACCCATAGAAATTAGTCAGGGAGATATGAAGGAAATTGCTTCAGTTTCTTTGGAGCCTAGAAAAAGTCAGAAAAATGGGGAAAATGATTCAGCTGTTGTTTGAGGGCACTAATGAAGGTGTGGGGATAGAGAAGATGAGAAGTTCAGCTTGCATATTACATGGAAATGCAGATTTTTGTTGGGGAGATCATGCCAAAAACGAGACAAGAAAGACTTTGATACCTTGATATATTCAAGTGATGTATTTATTTGTCTTAATTCCCAATTTCTCATGCGGAAAGTCTCTTGAGTCTAAGTTGAGCCTGAGCAATCCTTTCATATCCTGAAACTCAAATTCGCTCATCAGCTAGTTTTCACATTTTTTCTACTATTCAAAGATACACGAGGTTTTTTGCAACTTCCAAATGAAGTTGGGATTCAAGGGGAATGCTTTGTTTCGGTAGGAGGAATTGGAGAAGAGCCTAGGCGAGTTGGAAAGGAATCATGATGTGGGGAATTCCCTATCGGAGGCAATGGAGCTACGGGTTCAGCATCGCGAATGCCACGACAAAATCCAGGTGAGCTGCCTTTGGGCATTGGAGTGATGCTTCATTTCGTTAATTTGAGATTGAGATAGAAACCGATTGCGAGTTGAAGGGGGTGGATCAATTTTCAACAGAATTCTCCGATTCATCGGATGAATCGCTGGGAGAGGAATTCTGTACTTATGGTTAATTAATGAGAGACTGTTATGGTTCTACAAAAGTAAATTATCGTCTGATGTTATGCGCTGTTTTCATGGAGTTCCTCGTCGGTTTGTAAATCGGGCCGTTGTGATGGTAGTATCGAACGTATTGATCCATCGGCATAATTGGTAATTATAAGGGAAGGAAGGACGGAAAGTAGATCAGATGAGGACGGAGGCCCCCCCCCCCCCCCAAAAAAAAAGGGGGGGGGGGGGGGGGAAAGAATATAGATACTCCGGATGAAATGGAGCATCACCATGGTATTAACTAAGAAGGCCCTTTCCACTGATCCCTTCCGCAAATGAAACACCAAGGTTTTCCAATCCTTTTCGAGTCGTGTCGAATATATCTTGCATCCGGGTGCGTCAGTCTACCTATTACAGCATCGATGAACCTGGTAATTTGAAATTTTCACTACCACTTGCTCGAGGCCATCGTGTGCACGGACGAGCATTAACTGCTAGCCTCTAACCGGGGCACGAACGACTTGGAGTAGACACGCCCCGGTTCTCTATGCGGCACGAAGGATGGAAAATGCGTCTTCCGTAGTAAGTCCGATGAAGCAAGGCGCGATCCGTGGGGAGGCTGCAGCGACGCGAGCACAGACGAGCTACCTTCCCTTTCGTCGACTAGCCGTGGACAGAGTGACCGTGCGATCCTTGCTCGACTTCATCCCGGGTGGAGGTCAAGCGTTCATTAAAAAATGTACTAGGCCCATCCATCCGTGGAATCATCGCGCGCAAAAACGCGTAAGAGGACTACGGATACGGGATGTAGCAAAAGCTTACGATCTCACACTGAAAAGAAAAACGAATCCACTTCGGATGAAACATCATTCCATTGCCGATACGACTTCAAGTGGCGCCATCCAGAAGAGGGTGAGAGTGAAATCAATCTAAAATCATTGTAGTTGATCCGTCAAAAATTATTTCCTCCAGCAAACTTAAATAAAAAAATTAGACGTTCTTCCCAGAGAAACTCGCAAAACGTGGGTTATCACCACTGGGCATTAGCCATATGGAATATTTCTTGTCAATGGTGCTGCCGAAGAATTGGAGTACTTGATTGTTTTTCTCCAGTGAACCCCAACTCTAATTTTTTTAATAATAAATTATTGCAGAGCTTCTCCAATATAAGGAAAGTGGTTTTTACTAGATAACACCGACCAAAGACCTTGAAGTGCAATCATGAGCTCAAGACTGCTCCTGATGAGTCTAGGGAACTTGACTACAATTCTAAAATAGACATGTTGTCAACCTTGGTCATGCATAGTACATTTGGCATGTCTTGCCTGGTTAGACATGTCTCAGACTCTCTAGCTATGGCTTCCCTAAATTCTTGGGTGACTTTAAGTTTTTGCATTAAGGTTGAGTATCCTTCAAGCAAGGTTCAAGCAAGGTAGTGCAGACTTGCTGACATTCTGGGGAGTGTTGTTTTTATTCTAAACTCAACATGCAAAACCACACAATGACAAAAATGCAGAACTGAAAGGCATTTTATTCTGAAGATGTGATGCAGCCACACGACTTCACTAGTTTTTCCATTAACAATTTTCAGAAGTGAAGTTACACTGAAAAATTTCTGTTCTATGACCCAATTAAACAGGGAACATTGTACCACTTTAACAGTCATATAGGAATCCATGTATACCTACTCATATCAAATTTCTATTTTGGTTTTTCTTAATATCTTTGTAGGTCTATATTGCAGAAACTTTATCCTCAGGTATAGCCTTCCACACACTGATGGATTAGCAACATTACATAAAGTCATACACCATCACATTATGACTAGCACATGAACACAAGACTGCATGGCTAATCAGACTGGAAACTGACTTCTCTGCATATATATGGGAACACCCACAATTAATGATGCCCTCTTCTTGAGTACTTTGATTCCTTGAAATTCTTAAGGGAAGTTCTTCAAGCCTGCTAAGGATAACTATTCCAGCCTGTCTACAAGTTTGAGCCTCTATCTTGAGTGGTCGTTGATACTCATACTGTCAGGATTGGCATCAAAGGCTTGGTGTGCTTTGTATTCGTGTGTAGATTGACACACAGTTACCACATAGTATGTGTAAAGTGCTGTTGGGTTTTCATCCCTCATGACTTATCCCTTTTCTCATCATGCCATTCTCTACAATATCACATCAAGTCCCAATAGCCTTAGGTTTTTCTTTCCCATTTCACAATTCCCTGCTCTTCTCAGTCTTGATTTCCCCCATCCTGTAGCCCTATTGCTTTTCTGAAAAAGAACAACAGTCATGCTCCAAACCCACAATGGACAGTCAAGCTGTACCAAGGCACACCCAAGTCTCTCTGTGGCTTTTTCCTATTGCTGATATTTACAAAATATTCATTCAGCTATGTTGGTATGAAAAAATATTGGAGGGCTGTAAAGCTTCCACTAATTAAGACTAGTCACTATCAAATTCTACTAAGAGGAAAGAGGAAAAGCAAAAACAGGCTGGGAATGACCATTTTCACAGTTCACCTGAGAGCAAGAGAAAGACACTGGAAGGATCAGAAGAGGGATCACAGTCCATGTTGTTCTAATTTAAGCCACCAGCAAGAAGAATCAGGTAAATCTTTCCAAACCTTAGAACTGTCATGAACAGCACATCAAAAGCATTAAGTAAGATATCACCCTCTTCCTAGAGGAATACTACAGAACAGGATTATGTTTCATGTGAGCAGTGGACAAGATGCTAAAAATGAAAAACACATTTACATGCAAGTAGAGAAGAGGGAAGCCTACAGTAGGAGAGGAATAATTATTCCTCAGGTAGTCCTGATCGATTTGGGACAGCATCCATGGAAACCTCTTCAAAAGAAGATGCAGTGCTTGCATCATCAGGAGTTGCTCCACCATTTTCATCTGCTGATGGCTGACTGGATCCCCTGCTTGGTGTCCCATTACCTCCATCATCATCCATTTTGGCTGGAGGCCACGAGGCTGCACGATCTCCAGGTCCAGTTTCTTCTCCCCCTGACATCAATAATCATAACAAATCATCTGTAGAGGAGTAAACCTGGTCCTGACTGGCAATTCCATTAGGCCCATTCTTCATAGTCTGCTTTCACTCAAGGCTGGCATTGAGTGGTGCTAGTACCTGAACATTGTGGAGTTGGCCTAGGTGGTTCACTACCCCCTTGCACATCAGATCCTTGACTATGTTCTCTTGATCCATTCTCTGATTTCTCCTGGTCATCTTCATCATCATCATCTTCACCTGATGGCAATCTAGCTTCAGGGACATAAAAATCCAGCTGCTGGGATAATGGACCAACAAACTGGATCTCCTCCTTCTCATAAACTTCCAAGAAAGGGTGAGCACAGAGATTCCGTGTCTGTAATAAAACAGAAATACCAGTAAAATTAATAAAATTTTGAGCCTAAAACCTTCCATTTGAAGAATTTAGCAACTGAACTTCATGGAAAGAAATCTAACCTCAACGTAGTCTTTGATCTTGGGGTAAACTCTTGCAACAGCAATGAGGATAGAGATGGTATGATAGAATGGGAATGTGGCAAGCACACCATGGGTTATTGCTGGGAAGTGAGCCACCTTGTATGAATTGGAAGTGATCACCTCCATGTTCTCCTTAAGGCCTGAATCTTCACCATCCCGGCCAATAATGGCACCAACGATGTACCGTTGTTTTGCTGGTTCAACCTGTAGTAATGGCCACATGAAATTGCAGCCCAAACTTACTATGATAGACCTATGAATTAAGATGGACCTAGACCCATAAAGCTCAATTAGAACAATTAATGAAATGATGAGCTAAGCCTATGATAGGTCATAACATTAAATATCATTATAGAAATGGTGCACTAGAGTTATAATACTGGAGTAGGCTTTTTTTTTATCATGGAGAAAAAAAAGGGAAGATGAAGGCATCAAGGATGTGGAAATTAATAGACTTGTATGGGATTTCCAGAGCCCCAATAAAACGAAAGTGGAAAAAAAATACAAAAAAAAGAGTCAAAACAAGAATTCACACAACAGCAGGATGGATTCATTTAGTGACAAATAATTGCTACAGTAACTGAAGTGAATAACTAAGAAGTCATCAGAGTACTGGCAGCTAAATACAACTGGTGTGAGATTGAACATCGATTGGTTTCACTGACCCCCATCAATTCTGTGAAGCATACAAACTAGAGTGAGTTTTCCAGGGTAGACAAAGTTAAATTCCAGTCAGTTTTGGCAGGAATTAAGTCAAACAAAGCCACAATAATGAAAATGCATGCTAACTTCAGTGCACATTACTCATGACTTGATAATAACCTACTTATGTATAACTGTGACTAATAAATGTGCCTTGTATGGAGGTTACCTGGAGATGTTTCAACAATTTTCAAGAAGTGTGAATTAGGGCTTAATAAATAATTCTTTCAGAAAATATCCCATGACTAGTCACTACAGTTTCAATTGTCATTCCATTGCAGGAAAGAAGTGGGCTTGCCACATTATACTTAACGATTATGGGATGCCATTGTGAGCCCTAGGAATGGATTAGGAATGACACAAAACAAGTCCTGCCACTACTTCGTCAGAGTGCATGAGATACCAGGAACCCATTGCAAACGCCTAGTCTGGCTTTGAATTCAATCCGAAAACGGTGTTAAGACTACATAGACTATAACCTAAGCATATTAGGGAAGAGTAACGTCTTAGGCTTGGCCTAAGGCCCCACGTTAGCTTGGCTTACACCTAATGCTAGGCCTATATATGTCAGTCAAGACTTGAGACAGGCCTTAACTTACCTTTTGGGGGTCATCATAATAAATGCCGATTAAAGTAGAGCCAGGGAACACAGCGCTGGTCTCAGTGAAGAGCTCTCCTGCTTTGCTGTAAGGCCCATGACAGAACTTATAAGCCACGGTAAGTTCCCCGAATGAGGGTTTCCCTGCTTTTACTTCAACGGTCGAGAACAGGCCACAGTTCACGACGAACACAAAGAGCGTAACAAGTATACAAAAAAAGAGGCAGAAAATTAACAACAGAATCCAGCTTATTTCCATGATCGCCTGGGATGGATCTTCCAGCGAAGACAACGAAACGTTAAAAATCAACACGTGATTGCCACAATACTGGGTGTCACATCCGAGATACCATTCTAAGCTGCTGGGTCTGCCTGAAAGTGGATGGCTTAGCCGAATGCGAAACTTTTTACTGCAGTAACGATACTTTTTGTAAAATTCACTCGAATCGTCACCAAAAGGCTGATCAGGTGTAGGAAATGGAGCAATACAAAATTCGGGTGTTTTGGCAGCACTGGTCGCAGTTCTCCCGTCCAGACAGCGAGCGAGACCACGTGCAACGCGTTGCAATATTTTTAACTTCAGTTAATTAATTTTTCTCTTGACTCTGATGCTCGTGCATGAGGAACATCCCATACACAGCTATCCGAGTCAAGTGAAAAATTTTGCTGTCGCAAGTCATATCATAAAGACCTTTCTTAATATCCTGCTCGTATCTCCTTGTATTTCTTTTCTTTGGGGCTCCGCTCTCGTTCATACGTGCCCGTGTTCATGCTAGACTTTAGGGGTCCTCGCTCGAGTTATCTTGTGTTGACCTTATGATGAGGAATGAAAAAAATCTTGGATTTGTCATCCAAGATTTTTTCATCTGACTTATCCTGATAAACTGACTTATCCAAAATACTCAGGCCCCAAAGGGTTAACGGCACGAATCTCAAAGACACAAAAACCTATCAAAATGAGCGAGTATCGAACCCCCATCATTTGGCATTCATGTTCGAGTCATAAGCCGGCCATATTTCGCTCGCAAAAGAGGGGCAAGTTGTAGGGATATGAAGAGTGTATTACCCACATCTTATCTATCCAGTACCTTCAGACAGGATATTACTAGGTCCTGGACAGGTCTGATAATAGTAACTATAACGCTAGAACTATCATCATAATTTGTTTTGCAGTAGACATTTTTCAGTTTTACCTCTACCCCAAATTCATTTTAATCTGTTAAAAGGGGAACTTTTTTTTCTGTGTAGAACCCTTCAGAAATGCTACTTCCATGGTTCTTTGTTTCAATATGGCTTCAGCCTAACAGGCATTTACTTCCTTTATGTAAGTTGTAAAAACTATAATAGACCAATTCCACTAATTTCGGGTCCTAGCAGTTCCTTGTGATAGGTCTACATCAATAGATTATGCTAAACTAAGCTAGCCTACAAAGATATGGTCATATTTGACATTTTTGAGTTTCTAGCAGTAGCTACTTTGATAAAGAGCCTCTGCTTAATATTACTGGTTTTTTTCACTAGCACTTTATACCTGACCTAAGTTTGCATTAAACCATAGCCAAAGGTAGAGTTGCCTGGTTTCCTCAAAGGATGTGTTGGACAATGCTCTTCACATAGGTGTGGTAGATGCTGTAGTTTCTTGCACCTGGAATTTCATAGGAGATTTTTGCTCATGTCCATATCTAGGCTTAACAATGCATATTTATAGTTGCCTGAAAGTGTTTTGTTGCAAGAAAAGAGTGCTGCATGAAATATCTCTTTGTTCTTGAAAATTTCCTTTTACCATTATGGGACACAAAAATGAATTGAAATACTCTTGCATCCTTCAAACAGCCAAAGAATGATATAAACTTTATTGTTGTTCTAAGTTTTGGCTATTCAGGGGTGTACACTTGCCAAGGGCATGAGATTGTGGGAAAGCATAGACACTGTTCTTGATATGGCTTGGATAAATGGTCCCAAAAATTTGTTTTCTACATTACTTTTCCTAAGGTGAACAATAGTGTGGAATCACATCTAAGCATTTAAGGCTGTTTTGGGGCTCTGATTCAAGTTCAAGATTCATGTAGGGATGTCAGGAAGCATCTATATCCTGATTACCATGCATTTAGCTGTTACCATTCAGTAAGAAAAACCTATTGCACTCCATGTTATTGATTCCCTTAATGATCTGCAAGGCCTGGATGAGGCCCCCCCTTGTTAACCTATGCTCAAGCGAATAAGAGCTTGTGTGTTTCGGAATGTCACTCATATGAGGGACCATGCACTTCCTCGATCATTTTGATAGTCCACCTTTGAACCTTCTCAAGTGCTGCTACATCTATAGGTCTACATCTATACTCAATAAATGCAAGAAGTAATCCACAGACTCACTATTTGCATCAAGCTTCACAGTCTTTTACACCTTGTACTGCAGTAAATTCATGCAAAATTAGATCATTGAAATTTTGAGAGCATTCCCAAGAGAAACATTTAGTTCATTTCTTCTTAGACCCTGAAGCATCAGCTATGGCATCAAAGTCACTATCATCCAATCCACTGGAATCACCCCTATCTGAACTTTTGCACACACTTTCTTTCTTTTTGTTGTCTCCATCTATGCTGAAGTCAATATCACTTCTGGGATCAAGAATTATGAAATTTATTTTGAACATACTTGACAGCAAAATCTGTTTGTTGACATGATTGCATTGTGTAACAGGACAATCTCCTCTTTTGCACATTTCAGAATTTTGTTCTATTTTATTCTTCAGGAAGCTACACATTACACCATCTTTCTGTGCCCCAAGTAGATTTTGTGTTGTGTGACAATAGTGAGATCTTGTGACTAGTGAAGAAAACACTAAGGCATTCTCCATGATGACAAGGTGTCATCAAAGGTACACATCAGTGATATTTAGCATAACAACACATTGATGTCATTGGTATCAAAAGCCCGAGCTTACCTCATTGGCCATGGAACCTGATATCTGGAGGAAGATCAAGAGTGGTAGGTTGGTATGGGAAAAGCAAATCAGAATGGATAAATGGTCACTCCTTATCCTGACTGCACAGGGCTTTGTAATTGAATTTTTACCTCCTTTAATTGGGGCTCTATAAGCCTATTGTTGTGTAAGTCATGGGAAATTTACCTTCACTTGGAATGCACCATAGAAAGAAAATTCCTCCATGTGAATGATGATAGAAATTAATTTGCAAAGCACTGTACTGTACTCATTAGAATAGGAGATGATCCTTGCTGAGACACTGAAACTTGGTCCAAGATGGATATCTTACTCTGGTACAAGTGCATGATGCACTTCTCTTTGATGAAGAGTATCATTTCACCAAATGCAAACATAGGTTCAATGATTCTATTTAACTTCTAATTGTGAAATTTTCCTATCCTTTGTGAGGAAAGAATTTTTTTTAGTGATATAACTCTTGACACTTTAAATGGATATGAATGACAAGTAAGGCAGTTTGACAGATGAGTGTGGTCTGCAGACCTCCTTAAGTCAAGTCTGAAGTTTATTTTTATTTTTAGGTGCTGTTATAGAAGCCTGTTTAAAAGGCCAGAGTGCCTAAAATAGCTTGCAGACATGGACTCAACTGTGGCTGTGATTCAAGTGGATTATGTAATGCTGAAGTGGAGTGTGTTGTCCTCTAGTTTGGAGAAAGCAGCTGACTTAATCCAGCAGAAGATCCCTATGTACAATAGCATGAAAGAAATTTTATGTCAGATGAGAGATGGAATTCCCTCTGTGAAAGTACAATCTCCAGCTCATAATATTTTGCAAGCCTGTGTCCCAAGTTTGTCCCAAATCATTCACCATCTTGTGGATCAGTCTGAGACTTCAGATAAAATCCTCATCATGCGTGCATTGCACGTGCTAGGTAATCTGTGTGCATTATCATCCGATGTTCATGAAGCAGTCTACAATGCACTGGAGGATCTTTTCCTGTGAGTAAAAGTTTTATAAATCTCTCCAAATTTATCATTTACGGTAGCATAATGGTGAGCATTCTGTTAGAAATTTCATTTTAGCAAGTGAATTGGCAGTAGAAGCCTCAGTCATTTTCATCTCATTAGATCTATGCAGAAGTGAATCAGGCTCAGACAAGCAAGAAAAATGAATTACTCCAATGCACTTTAAAATTATTATTTGCATTTCATGGAGGGTTTTTAGTACATGATTACTTGGCAAGCTGAAATGCATCGGTTTTGTTTGAATCACTGGGAATAAAAGTAGGAATGCAGTCATGCTTTTCTTCTTACCATGGTGTGCTCTTCCCTTGTCAATTGTTAATGCACTATTACAGCATTTTATCTTGCACAAAAAAAATTAATGCTACAGTAATTGGTATTTCTTGTATGATATTAAATTTGAATTGAATTTTTTGTGACAGTTAAAACAAGAAGAGATTAGGCTTTCCATTGCTGTAAATTACATGAAGATCAATGTACTCAGAGGTGAGATATGGAAAGGCAAAGTTTACATAAGCAAAATTCAGACATACTGCTGAACCACTGCAAGCAGCCTATATAAGTGAATCCAGCTGTGCAGGCATGTGATGAAGCTAGTGATCCACAATTGTACTACCGGACTACTCTTCACTCTATTGCTGACTCTTGGGCTCCAGAATTCATGGAATGAAAGAATCCTCTTGCTGGCCCGTCACTCAACCTCACCTAACACACTGTGAATGTGTCCTTTGGTGATGGTTTATAAATTTCTTTGAGTGTAATTTTCACTGTTCCATATCTTGCTTCAGAAATAGTAGATTTTCATGTCAGGTTTTCAGCAAAAGAACGTAATATCTACTCTTTCTAACTGACTCAAAATGTTTAAATTCAAGTTCAATAAAATACAAGAAAAACCCATTAATACAGCATTAACTTTTTTTTTTGAGACACCTTATATCTCCATGAAGAGCTCTTCAATGACGAGACCTGAAATGAGGTCTGTAAAAAATGGAAAAGATGTTTCACAACACTGGAAGCATTCACATGATTCAAGTAGGCATATCACATGAAAAAATGCAGATTACTGTACAGGATTTCCTGTAATTAATTTTTGAGGACGGTTTCCCAACTGTTGTCACTGGCAGAGTTTTGCATGCCGTGATATAAATCATCGGGAAAATAGGGTAAAACAGTAAATAGTTATCAATAAAAATAATTTATTGTGCTTTTCTGACTTGGCAATGAAATAAACTAATCTGAACATGCACAAAAATGCATATTCTTGCATGAAGTCACCATTTTATCAAGGCAAGGACTATTTCTCAATTTCCATCATATGTCCTGAACCACTTTGGCCTGAAAATATTACTGAGCTGTCTTTGAAATACAGTACTCATTGGAAGATGAGCTTTGAAGGGAATGAAGAGTCTTCAGAAATATCTTATTAACACAATCTTGATACAGTCTGAAGCCATCCTGATTATTTATGGATAAGTGGGGAACAAAAAATATAATCATTATCACAGGTTCTTTATGAAATAATGTTTCCTATGAATTGGATTCTATATTCAACATTTTGCCCAACCCTGCTCTTGTGTGCTTGTTCTTCTGCAAATTTAATTAAGGCTATTGTAGTAATTGAAGAAAAGTAATGAAAAAGTATTGCCCATTTTATTTGGAAGCCATCAGAAATAGGCAGAATATGGCCTCCTAAAAAGGGCAATAATTTATCATTGGAACTTCTGTTCCCTTTTTGCTCAAAATAAAAAAGGAAGTAGTTGCCATTACTAGCCTTTATGGCTGGCAAAAAGTTTATAGTTACAGTAAAACATTATTTTTTACTTGGTTATTCCCCATCATTGGAGGAGGGAGGAAGGAAATTGGCAGGATAATATATGATTTCAGAGTAGCTAAGGGAAGAGAGAAAGGAAGCTGCACTGAAGCTGTACTGGTTTGTGATCATGAGAGGAGGATAATAAATTTGACCTAACCTCCTTTACTCATTTATACAATACCTGGTATGCATTAGGAAAGTGATCCAGCTACTTTATTCTGGTATTTGTATTTGTACTTAAAAGCAATGCATATAACGTTCAGAGCTGGTATGAATAGGTGAATAAAGACCTAATATTCCCCCCCCTCCTACTGAAGAGTTTGGGGAAAAAGCATCTTAAAACATAATTAAAAAATGCAAGTATTACCTGTAGGTATTCATAAAAACTGAGCATGACTTCTACTGCCAACTTACATTTGCCATCAACTTTTGTTGCTGAATGACCCTGAGAAATTGAAAGGGAGCTCAAATAACTTGCTTATTTTCAGTTAAATTTCCAATACAATATTTAAGTAGATTAGTCTGGGATTAGGTCCATATTTAGAAGTATAATAATAGAATTTTATTTTAAAATAAATAAAAGTAATATGTTGGTAAACCTACTTGGGTTTTTCTTCCGAACTGGTTGACGTAGTAAAAGACCCTATAGGTGGGGATGGAAACACCATGCTAAACAAGGTATACATGTGTGAGTGTAGATTGCTGAAGTGTTACAAAGGCTGCATTCTGCCACTCAAATTCCAGGTTAATAATTTTCTTCGCTGCTTACTTAGGTGTGACATCTGAAGGGGTCAGTTATGTACTCAAACCTATAATAATGTATACAGAATTTTACATTACAAACAATGAGTATAAATATCCAAACCAAATTTTCACTTAAAAGTGTGAAGTTACATTTTGGGCCACCCTGTATATCTTTGAGGAATTGATTGTTGAACATGAGTCAAACATACATCCTCAGTTCCATTCCAGATGAACCAGATTTGGCTTAAAAGAGAAGAGGAGACTTATTCCTCTGTAGAAACCATTTCCCATGCTGAAAATAAGAAATTAACTGACTTGTAAAATAGTGAAAGATAAAGTCCATGTCAAATTAACACACATAATTACATACGATGACCAGTCAAAAAGTTCTGATACACATTCTTTTTGGTACCTGTGAAGCATTAGGTACAGCAGCATGATGTCCTTCAATGTAGTCCTCCTTGGCAGTCTCTCACTTTTTCCAGCAGTCTTACTTTTACATAAAGCAGGGTTGCAGGCCTTTTTTATGCTTAGCATGCATCAGCCTGAAACATGAAGCGGTTGCATGTATCACAATTGCCATACATTAATCAAATGCCCTCAAAACTTGCTGAAGTTGACTTCAGAGGTATCATCTTAGCACTGCCCTGCAGTTAGACTCTCAACTGTAGTGAAGTGGGTTGAGGGGAAGAGAAGAGAAAACTGGCCTTTCATTGGCATACCTCTTCCTCCTAGTAGTCAAAAACTGGTAACAGCTGAAGTCATATATTGGAAAAACAGTGAAAGATGTTAAGATGAGAACAGATAGAACAGTTTTTGTTTTAAATGAATCCTGCTGCAGATTGTAATATAAATGAGATGTTCAGGTCTGATAGCATGACTGTAGACTCTACCTAGGGGAGGGTTAATGATGGAGAAAGCATTCTCATTCCAACAGACACATTTTCAAGAAAGTTTATGATTACCCATGAAATATATTTTATTCGGAGTAACTTATGGTCATCAGTGCATGCATGTATGTAGTTTCATAACATAATGGTGCTTTTCTTTCCCTCATTAACCCTTTACGGTCCTATGTTGGACGCTATCCGACATCGCTTGCACTGCCTCTTTAACCCTTTCTCTGACATATTTTCAGATACAAATTGTTACCCCAGTGGCAGGTTTTTTCACTGTGAATATGGTCGCGCCTTTGGCGCTCCATTAACTAGGATAGTGATTAATTCATATTCGAAGGGGCAAAAACTTGGTTAAAGTACGTCCTTGTTGAAATATGAACCAGGAGGGAAGTAACCAAGATTTTTTATTATTATCGAAATCATTACTCCGATTATTTCTTGTGTGGCTAACTTCAAATTTCTCTGTGCCTCTATTGTCAGAGAGGAAAAAATAAACTTTAAATACTTCCTTCCCATAATCTGCCCTGCGGGGACATATTTCCAAAGAAGAATTTTTTTCTGCATTGGGCCATCGAACAGGTACTTCTGAGCCAAGTTTCAAATTTTTAAAATTATCTCTCTCTGTTTCGTTGGATCAAAAAAGATTCGGGAAAATGCGCCTATTCCATAAAAGGTGCCCTTAGAGGTTTTACATAAAAAGTACAATTTTTTTTTTAAATACTGAAATCAGTACTCGAGGAACTATTTGCCCACCAAATTTCATCCTTATACGTTTGCCCATTTCGCTGGTGAAAAAATATATTTGGAAAAGCCGACCCACCCAAAAGCCATGCTCTGAGGGGATGCACCACAAAAACTGAATTTTCCCTGAATTCAACATCACGTCATTCATGTGTATGCCAAGTTTCACCTTTCTATTTTTGCGCAATTCGCAAGGACAAAAAATATTTATTTGAAAACATCTCCCCCCAAAATGTGTGTACTCAAAACATGTACCTCCTAAGTCGGATTTTTTTCTGAAAAATTACCACAAAGTAAAGAATTACAAATGAAAACTTCCTTATGTTGACATTTTTACATTTTTTGTAATAAGTTTCCTTTAGAATTGCTTGAGTGTTGAAAATATTTTAGTTCAATTTAAGCTGCTTGTGTTATTCTTTCTTATTTTTCCATTATCTCTGTAATGTATGACGTTGCAGATATGCTACATACCAAGTAAATATTTTAAGAATGTGCAGGTATCGAGCTCCTGAGGTAAATCTGTTCGTAGCAGATGTGCAACAGTTCAGTCCTTATACCTAACAACTATGCGGTCGCTAGGTGCCTTTCACTCATGGTGGCAAGCAAATTAAAACCACCCTGGCTACATCGTATGGCAGATTGACGTTTTTTATTTAATTTTCTTAAACTTTACGCTAATCCAGGGTCCAGGCTCATCCGTATTGTTACTTTTTCTTTTGTGTTGAGGTATGTACAAATGCTTGCGGACTGACTGAGCTCTCTGAAAATGTTGTTTGTAGCAAATGAACAACAATAACATTTCCGGGCCTACTGCTTACAAATTCGATTTTAAAAAATTTTTTTCCACTTGACGCGTGTTCTAAGACGTGAGTGAAACCTACCAGATTTTTTTTCGCCGAAAAATAAAAAATCATGCATTAACCCTTTGGAGTCCTATTATTTTTAAGTTTCGCAGGCCAAATAGTCAATTTTTTTTTATTGAAATAGGTTCGAATGAGGTTTTATTATTTCTCTTTCAGTTGAGTAATTTCTGGCCATCTGATGAAGTAAATAAAACGCCTATAAACACGCAAAAGAATAGCACTGTTCCATTGAGCAAAATTATTATCATAACGCGACAACTTTGAATCAACGCTCTCGACGGCGCTGCCCTGGATAAACTGGCCTTATGTAAACAATAACTGCGCGGTTTCAATAAAGGACGTGAGTAACGATGTTAAATAAACATAGCGTCGCATCCTACAGATGATATAGGACCTGAGAGACCGCGTGTAAGTTTTTTCATCCTGGGGATGAGATAGGACCAAATTGCAGTTTTATCAATTTCATCCCGGGGATGAGATTGGATCGCAAAGGGTTAAAGGATTAAAATAAATTGAACCTGAGGAGCCAGACAGCTTCCGAATAAATGGACTGCAAAGGGTTAAAATTGTCTATTATTATGGAGAAGAACTAGTCTTGCTTTTGGTTTATATGACTGTCCCATGTTATTGATCTTTTGACAGGGATTTAATGAAGTTTAATGATGGGAAGATATTCGAAGGCTGCGCCATGTTGATCAATACCTTGTGCCGAAGAAGCTCCTTGATCTTGGACTGTATATTGGCAAGACCGGACTTTCCTGACATTCTCACTCAGGAAATCCTCAGAATTGAGAAAGGGGACGAAGGGTCAGACTTTTGCCTTTTCTTCCTCCAAGTGGCTTGTGGCCATCAAAAGTTCTTTTCTCTTGGCTACTCACACGTGTCAACAAGGAGTCGTGCTTTTATTATCTCAGTGATTCTGGAGCAAATGGATACTTCCTCTTCTATTCATGTAGACACATTGTCAGGCTTTATGTCATCCTTCAAGGACCATACTGAATCAGTGCTTTGTATTGGAGGCAGAGAACATGAGGATGTTTCCATGGAAATGTTTTGTATTATTCAGTGTCTTTCTGAGATGTCATTAATTGACATTTATAGGTCTCATATGCAAGCTGATCCTGGGCTGCTCATAAAAGCCACTTGTAAGTATATCATATTACATTCAGTGTTTTTTGCATAATGCAAACATGACCTCTGAACACGAGTTTTCTCTGATTTCCCTTCCCCGTATAGGCATTTTGAAAAGCATTCATGAAGCTGGGAAGGAAGGTCACCGATTTTTTGCCCCTGTTTTGTCATCATCTGATTCTTGTCAAGACTCTCTGTCGAGCCCTACTATCCACTTGAAATCCTTCTTGATCCAGCTCATTGGAAATTTGGTGCACCAGCACAAGAAGAACCAGGATCTGGTGAGTTAATCTGCAGTACAATAATAAAATTCTAGACGATGAATCCTCAATATTGCGTCTGTTTTATCCTGGAGACATTTTTATGTTCTGCTAGTACAGGTTATGAACATTATAATTGCAATTATAGCAGTTTTACTTTAAGGAATTTAGTTTTACATCATGATTTTTTACTTTGCATTAATTCCAGCCTCTCTGCACTAATTGCTCACAGGCAGGGCCGCCCAGAGCTTTCCAGGGGTCCGAGGCAAAACTAAACCGGAGACCCCTTGGGGCCCTTTGAAGGCCCCCCTTGTGACCCCTTGATACGTGGGACCCGGGGCAGATTGCCCCCATTGCCCCCCCCCCCCCCCCCCCCCCCCCCCCCTGATGTAAAACTAAATTCCTTAAAGTAAAACTGCTATAATTGCAATTATAATGTTCATAACCTGTACTAGCAGGGGACAAACTAGTATTGGAAGATTCTGCTGTGAAAAATGTGAAGGTAAAGAATAGCTAAAGGTATAGGATGCATAAAAAGTAGGGCTGTCGATCGAATAGAAAATTTAATCGATTAATCGAATTTTAATCATTCCCTTAGTTCCTCCTTGAATCATGTCCTAGACGTACGGCATGATTCTGCTTGTGTCTTGCCCAGCACCTAGGCGAGCCTCAGGAAGTGACTCGAGACGATGCAGTCGGTAAAAGCAGTTACTATCCATACATACGCTAGTTCTAACCACATGTAACACATTCCACCTTGTGGTATGTGTTACATGCAGTTAGAACTAGTGTATTCTGGTACTGTATTCTGGAAATCACCGTAATAAGCACCATCGTAACGGGGCAAGTGTATTGATGACTTATTTTTCGAAATCAGTCCTGTAATTATTGTTCTTGGGCAGTGAGTGTGCTTCCAGTTCGTGCTCCGTCCCAGATACTCGCGCAGTACACGCTCGTGCTAAAACAACCTTACAAGTACCTCGTTTGTTTGAATCTGTTCGTTGCATCTTCGTTACAAGTCGTTCTCAGTACAGCCAGGATATTTGAGCCAGTGCTTGCGACCCTCTCCAGGAGGACCGTGAATATGAGAGATGCTTATCGGTACTGTATTTGATTAAAACTGTTACGTGGAGATGAATGGATATATTTGTTGGGAGGGAAGTGACCTTTGGGTAACCGTACACGTGGGTTATCGACGTATGGTCGTCTACGGGTGCGGCAACGTCGACACATTTTCGAGATTTTCATATTTCATATTTCATATTTCATATTCGCTTCTCCTGACCAAGTGCCGCAATAAGACTTCCAGGAGGAACCAAGCCCACCAGTGCCACTTAGTCCAAATTAGTTCAGTAATTTTTACTTTACAGGGGGTCCGAAAGTGCCGGATTTCAAATGTTTGCAGCTTTCTCAACTGGATACGTACATCCTTGACGTCTATATCAGTGTGTTCTTAGTAGTCAGAAGTTTAAGGAAAATATATACCTACTGGCCAAAAATGTCGCCAAGCGTCGCCATTTGAGCAGAAAAACTTGGTTAAGTGTTTCCGTTCCGACAAACTGTCACACGCTGACTTACTGAGGAACTGACTAAATTTGACGGTGATTTACGGCAGCTGCTAATGACATGCGCTTGAAAAAGTGCAATTTGTTCTGTGATTTGCAACTCTTGAATCGGCAAATAAATTTCAGAGTGAGTTCAGCCATGGGCGCAAGGAAAACTGTTGGACCAGAGAGTATCAATCGGTTTGACAATCCCATGCACACTGGAACATTCTATAAGTACATCGATATTTTGGGCCAGCAAATGAAGATTTCCTAAAAACTCAGACTTCAAGGAACACACTGATAAAAACCAAGGGTGTAGGCATCTATTTGACAAAGTTGTAATCATTTGAAATGTCTCTCCCTAGGATTACAGATATCTTGAGCTAAAATGTCATTAAGAAACCTTGTGACGAAATTTCATGGCTGAGTTCCTGCTTTTTATTCATAATAGGGTAAAGGCTCTAGTTTGTGGACGGGTTAAGAAAATTTTCCCCTTGAAAATTGCATTACTGTCGTTGGGGTAACCGAGAAACTGCTTCATTGGTTTCAATGGGAGGCCACTTATCATAGTTTGATGCCCATACCCTAAAATAAAATATTGAAATATACTTTTCCAACAATAGCTGTTTAAATGGATATGTGTTGATTTTCACGTGGTTCCTATTTTTGGGTTCCAGTTTGTGGACACCAGTTTTTGTCAACAATTATGAACGTGCGTAGGCCGAATATAAAAATATGGGCATGAGATATGTACAGCAGTTTTATTCATCTTCAATGATGTTCTGTTTAATAAGTGTAATTGGAAAAATTACGGAATTCAGGAGTGCTAGGTCTAAAACTAAGCAAAAATGTCCAAGTTCACTCATGCTCTTGGATATGCATAAGTTATATGGTGGCTGACAGGCATGTGCAAAATATGGAGCATTTGAGGAAATAAATTTTCGGCGTGAATTTTGCGAAATGGCAAAAAACGGAAAACTGTCCACAAATAGGCGCCCGTCCACAAACTGGTGCCTCTACCTAATATGCATTTCCCATAAGGACGGACAAGTAGGATACGCCGGTTTTGAGATGATATCAAAGATGAAAGGAAGTGTTGCGTCTTCGTTGTAGCACTACATTTCCAGTGTTCAACATTTCATCCCGTTAATATATCAAGCGTGCAGTTTGTCCCCATGAGGAAAGCCAATGTGTTGGATATAGTACAGAGACAACACCCCTCGTTGAAATGACTCCATTGTCGCTCTTACAAGATAGCCTGCAAGGTTTGAGTCTGGTTGGATGCATCGCAGTCCATGTGGTACGGGTAGACTACAGACGAGACAGCAAGAACGTATGGATGTCGCGAATGGTTGCTCATCATTCATCAAATGTGTGTTGGTTTAGGGAGTGAATGGAAAAACTTAACCCAAATTTACTTTTTTGACCTGCGAGCTTCCCGAATTCAGAAAACAAACCGCGCCCTTTTTCGCAGCGAAAGCGTACTAGGCGTGAAAAAAGATTCTAGCTTATCTTATTCCGGCTGTATTTTATCCAGTGTGGCAAAGGCCGAGGTAGATCTAGAGATGGTGGAGAGATAGGGAGAGAGTGAAATATACGCATGGAGGTATAAGTGGAGATGCTTGTTTGACCCTCCCACTCTCTCTCATTCATACATTACGATGATGTCTTCTTTCTTCCTTCTCTCATCGTGTGTATCCATAGGTGAGAGAAGGGGAAGGGATCCCAGTCCTCCTGGAATGCTGCAATCTGGATCATCGCAACCCCTGTGCGTCACTCCCTTTTCTCTCTTACCCTTAATAAAGCCGCAGAATGATGATGATGGCCGTGTCTGTGAGGCAGATATCACACAGTGGTCGGTGCTGGCATTGAGGAACTTATGCGAGGGGAATGCTGATAATCAGAGAATCATCAACGACCTTTCCTACCTCGGACCTGCACCCGATTCACTCTCCATTCACGATGGAATCCTCCGGATACCCAAAAATACTTGAAACTCAACTTTCCGATTGTAACCAAGCCGATGCCGCTTGGCTTGCCCTGGCTGTATGCAGGTAATTATTAAAACTTTTCACTATTTCGGAATACTTTTTCCCCCCTCTAAAATGTGAGATTTTAACGTGAAACGAGAAGGGGGGAGGGGATTGGGGGCCTACATGGGGTTTTATTTTCCCTCACATCTGTGTGTATTGAGGACTGATGTCTCATGCGGTGATGAATGGGGGTGCGGCTGCATGCATAGCATGAGAGAATTCAAGTCTCCATAGTGCAACAAGCCCTATTCCGACGGCTTTATATTGTGGAGGGTGTTGGCATGCCAGAGGGTGAGAGAGAATCAACCAACCTCTATTGAGGTGAAGGGGGACCCCATTGGGAAGGATGTTGTTTTACAACATCTGGGGTGTCATTTGCATCGTTGGCACCCCGGGGTGCACCCCGGGATGCCGGAACGAACCAGGCATCTCTCTCTCAATCCCGTATCCAATCCCGTGTACATCCATTGTTCCCTCTCCTCTAACTTAGGCAGAGAACAACACTTCCACACTGGACACAATTCTACAGTATTTTTTTTTTCATTCATTCATTCATCGATTCATCCATGCCTTCGTTCTCACTTGCACGTGTAGATCTCCAGGGTCTTGTTGCACGTGTGGCATTCCACGTGGCAACACCAAGTGAATTTGCACCGGCATTGAACACTTTCCGTCAGTTGGTGAGTGTTGTAGCCCCGACCGCAGCACATGAGGTCACAGCCATCCGTCCCTTTGAATTTCGATCGAAAATACTCAGGATGGATAATTGAAAATGACACGAGCAGCCCCGAAGAGGAAGGAGGGAAATCTCGTACCTGAGGAGGTGCGATTGCAGGTGCGACCATGGGTGCCGTAAGAGCCGTTCTCGGGGTCCCATTCGCAATAATTGGGGCTTTTATGGAGATAAACGAGATCGGAACCCCTTGGCCGATGCTTGATCCGTCGGGACGGGGACGGAGACGATCTCAGCGTCAACTCGTACTCGTGAGCCGTTCGCCTTCTCAGTCGCTGCTTCGTTCTTCCTTCGCTCTCTCTCTCTTCCTGGATCCGCATCGGGATCACCGCTCGTGCCTTCATGTACTTCCTCATCAGCTCCTCCCCTATCTACCATAAATACATAACATCAGCCCACATCAACATCCATGTCTTTCCTTCTGCGTCCTTAGTGACTGGATGAAAATGCGCATCATAAACTGTGGTCCGTATGCGTATTTCCGAGCCATGAAAATATTCTGGCGTCCCTTATGCTTACTTCTGAGCACTCTGATTCGTACCGAATGGGTACAGAGGTGCTGCTGGTGTATCTCCATCGCAATCCATCAAGACGTCATTCAAATATTATTAACAAACCTATCAAATCATAATCTCAGGATATCCTCTGTAAAGGGCGAAATTCCAGTTCCTATCGTGTTCCGTGCTCTTGTACAGCATAATTGCATAGTTGTTTTCTTATGAAAGTATCTAGGCCGTCTTTTATGTCCTATTAAGCTATCATGCGCGAAATATGAACATGTGACAATGTTGTCCATAGATATTAACTCTGACTGCCGTGGAGGAATCTAACTTTCCCCAGAAAATTGCTTGAGTGGTTTCCATTATGCTCATTTGTATTGATCGTAGCTTCTAACATTCCCGTTCTAACACTAGACTGTTTCGTGTTTAGCTTAATGAATTCCCACGTCTAAGCTAAGAGGATACGTTTCAGCCTGAGCCCATCGACGGTCAGTCCCTTTCCGTAATGCGAGCTTTCCAATAGATATGGAACAGGGCTATCAATATCCCAGGAAGGTACTGTAAGCTGTGATAGATAATGTTTCTAGCGTCAGAGAGCCAGAGATGCACGATTAGGAGCTACTTTTAAAAATTCCGAATCTTTTGGTTGTCCATAACATGTTAATATCGCACATTATTGTCAAATTTCTTTTTTTTTTTACGAAAATTTGTTGGAATCATTCAAGAGAATTTGGAGATACAAACATTTTAAAATCGAATTCACGTACTGTTATCACTGTCCTTAGGCGCCTTTAACACGTTGACTGCCGCCTAGGTCACTGGTGTCCGCTGCCTGAACTTTCCCCGCCTACCACAAGGGACACCCTTGTTCGCTCTCCTTACTCAGATGTTGGTTCGTGTGGCTGCTTCGATTTCAGTATTCTAGTTATCGAAATACAATATCAGTATGCTTTTTGGTGTCAGATAACGTTTTTAGAAATTTTGCTTTGGCAGTCAACGTGTGAATACCACCAGATAGTGGTCATTTCGTCATTGTAAAAGACTGAAAATACCGCAAAAGTCATGACGTTGAAAAGTTTCCTGTTTGCAAAAATAGAAACCGATCTGCGCCAGCCAGGCTATGTCGCCATATTGCCAAACACAAATGACAGACACGAGGGAGGGAGGGTTTCATCAGCGCTACCAGCAGATTTTCTGATCCTATATTTTTACATGTTCATATCTACGGATTCATTTGGTTTTGAATTTCAACCTGCTTTCGCAGAAACAAGGAAAATGGAAGTGTCACATTACAATTTAATGGACATCCATGCTTTCGTTTAAAAGATACAGGAACTTTAAAAGTGACCACTAATTAATTGGTCCACGGTGTATTTCACATTTAGCATGCATACGTCGTGTCTGTTGTGGAAACGGTATAGTGAAACTTGAAAGAGTCTCGTATTCCTGGAAATAATTGCGTTGATGTTCGGACGTACGTATTGAATGGATCATAACAGGAGTTGGGATTTTCATGCAAATGATGAGGTTTTTTCCTTAAGTCTTATTTTTTCCGTCTCTCACGGAGAGTAAAATTTTTAAGTGTCTGTATTCAAAGTTAAATTTTTTGCATATATTTACCAAACTACATAAATATATAAAAATGCATATATCGAGTTACCTGAGAGTTAATTTCGCATTTTCACCCTAGGGTGTGATGAAACAAAATAAATGGTGGCCATTTTGGCCAAGATATGAAAGTGGGTCACCTGTCTTTCCTATCATATGTGTCCCATCTTTCCTGCCAGCCCTTCCCCCCCCCCCCCCCCCCCCCCCCCCCCNCCCCCGCCCCTCCCCCCCCCCCCCCCCCCCCCCCCCCTTCCCACTCCTGCTTCCTTCCTGAAATGGTTCGAAGAAGGGGGTGGAGAGGAGGCGGCATGCGTTTTGCCTTGAGGCAACCGAAACCTTCACCTTGCTTCGTGAGCTTCATCATCCTTGGTTGTTTGGTTTGCTGCCAAATGCTTCTATGACTAGACCGAAATGAACGAATGAAAGTATGCTTTTCCTGCTTGTATGAGCTTTCATTGTCACTGCATGTCTTTCAATGTGCATATTTTATGGAACTAACTTATTTTGCCATTTCGTGGGGCATATCTCCAGGATTTTCATGCGTAAAAATTTCAGCACAATATTTTCCTTCCCTTTCCCTCCATGCAGAGACCCCCTACAAAGGCTAGAAATGAATTATTCTTATTCTCTGAAGAATTATACCCCTTCTAGATCGCTAACACCAGTCACGCCATGCACCCTGTTGTCTTCACAAGCTCATTAGCAAGAAAATTCCATCTGGTGCAGAAAATAAGGAATTTCGTGTTACAGTCGAACTCTGTTATAACGTCATCGAAGGGACCAGGTAAAAACCGTCGTTATAACCGAGGTTCGTTATAACCAAGGTTGCCTTTATTGGCACTCCGTTTTCCTGTTTTCAAAATTGATGCTATATAACGTTACAACTCCAGTTTACATTGGTCATACTGCACTAGCTTCGGTTTCAAGATTGACCCACTGATCGTGATGTTCGCACTTCTTTGGACCTTCAACTACTTTATACTTCAGCAAGGCTTCGTCGATGTCATCTCGACAGACCGAGGAAGTTTCTCGTTTTGTGACACGATCTTGCAAGCACGGACGAAGCTGTCACGATTTTCCGAAATTGTGGAAACAGATGAACAGATGTCCATGTTCGCGAGCGAAGTTAGCTTAACTTCGAGCTCTTTTTATAAAACTAAACAAGCGCACTTTCATTTCAATCGTGAGGGCTTGCCTCTTTCTTTTTCCTTTGGCCAAGTTGTCAACGAGAAATGCAAATGGCGACTGAAGATAAGGTGATCTTAGTTACTGGGGATTATCCCTCCCTAACATTGCTCCAGCGACAGCCACATGACTCTCAAGGAATGCAGAATCCAGAAAATATAAAGTTATTTCCCGCCAACGCTAATTTTTCCGATGACGGAAATTTTAGTTAAGAATGATGGATTAAGGACATAAACGTTGTCTATTTCGTCTGTGAGACCTTCAATGGACTTCGTTATAACCGGGGTTTCGTTATAACCGAGGTAAAATGTAACGTGCCTTATGGGCTCTACACCGGGACCTGGCGCTTCCGTCGTTATAACCGAGTTCGACTGTATTGACTTGAACCATGTTGGGACATCGGTAATATAAACAGATTCAGTCTGAACTGAATGAAGCCAGATGATAAAAAAAGGTTCATCTTTATGTGTAAGAATCCAGTATGACCATTGAAGGCAGTCATAGAACCTCTTCATCCGATCGTGATCACCGAGATGATTTTCCTTACCGATCCAGGCGACTTCTGCCCACCGATTCTTTTGCCACGCAAGGGCGACCCGTACACAAAGGCAATCAATGTGTCAACGCCCGCGGATCCCGAGGGCAGGTACGCACCAGGCAGCAACGTCACGTTAGAATGTGGACTGAAAAACTTTTCCTTCTCCTCTGGGAATACCCTAGAGACATGGACATGTCAGAACAATGGGGAATGGACACCAATAAATATATCCATGGCATGTATTCCTCAACCAAATACAAGTAAGCATCTGTCCACTGTATCATATTATGTTACCAATATAATTGCACTAATGAAATTAACAAATGGTCCAGCCACACCCACATGACTCTCAAGGAATGCCGAATCCAGCAAATATAAAGTTATGGCTCGCCAACGCTAATTTTTCCGATGACGGAAATTTCAGATAAGAATGACGGATTAGGGACATGAACGTTGTCGATTTCGTCTGTGGGACCTTCAATGGACTTCGCTATAACCGAGGTAAAATGTAACGTGCCTTATGGACTCTACTCCGGGACCTGGCGCTTTCGTCGTTATAACCGAGGTTTCGTTATAACCGAGTTCGACTGTATATTAGTTTCATTTTACCAAACGCTAATGGTTTGCCTTTCCAGGGGCGGCCGAAAAGGTTATGACCCACCCACATACTGGTCCGTAGGTTTCGGGTCGGGGTAATTGCCTCCCCGCTGAGTTGATGACCGTCGCATAAATTAGAGACGGAGTGAAAATTTGAAAGATTTACATCCAATTGAAGCACGAGTTTGCACTCCCGGCAGGTCTCCTGTCGCCCGCACGCCCGTCTTGTGCTGCCCGCCCTTCCCCTACCCCAATCCCTTGTTAGAAAATCCAGAACCCAGACGACGGCCCTCCATTCATACATGAAGGGGAAGAGGCGCCTTACTGCTTCATTTCAAAATCTAAGCAAATGTTGTTTACTGCATTTGTTTGTCTTAGGGAGTAGTTCATGGATTTTCGAAGCCGTTCTATGTCCGCAGCCATCAATGAGACGGGACGGGACCAGAAGTTACCGCTTTCTGTCCGAGGAAAGAAGCATGAAGGCTTTCTGAACGCGAGGAAGGGGAGAGAGGAGAGAGACCTGTGCGAAGGGAGGGAGGGTTTTCCAGCAAGTCTTCATAGTGCAGCTGCCGGAGACCCCGTGACACTTGCATTCCCTCTGCAGGCTTTGTTTCAGGGCCTTTCTCCCGGCCTTGCTGTTATGCAGATTCATGAGGGCCCGGGGATCGGATTCCCATTCCCTCTGATCCAGGAATCGACGACTGAATCCCAGGCCGTAACTGAGATCGGGGGAACAACCACCCCACACCCAGGCTGCCGGTATAGGGTGCCTCCGACTCCTTGGGTCTGGACGAAGTAGAGGCATCAATCGTTATCAAGATATAAAAAGGTTCGCAGGCCGATCAATGGGATGGATGAAGGAACAACTGAGCGAATGATAGCAGTTACTAATTCTTGATGAGCATTGCAACATGCAGGATGTTTACACAGGATAATCATTATTAGTAGAGCTGTACCGATGGCCACATTTGGCCAATGAGCCAATAGCCGATTTTTATATAAAACCATCGACCGGTGCCGGTGCCGATTGTGGTCTATAGATTGAAAAAGAAACACGAAAAAAATGAAATTAGTACTAATTTCAATAGTGTTTAACGACACATCTCTTGCCAAAGCATAACATGAAAGGAAGTGCCATTATTTCCTGTTCTTAACCGCTATTTTCCTCCGCCGGTTCCTCCACTCGGGCTGAAATATAATGCGATTGATATTTTTGTCCGGGAGAGGCTGGCAGGAATGGCTTTCAGTGAGACATGAGGACCGACGCCCTGCCGTGTTCACATGCTCATGTTATTAATTTTTTTTTTTACCTTATGGCACCGGCATCGGCAGCTTGCAACCCTGCCGATGGTGCAACACTGGCCGTCGATACATCGGCACAGCCCTAATCAATAGTCTTCATAATAATGCAAATGAACTTACTATAGTCACTTGTCACCGTAGTTATTGTCTTTTAGACCTTACATAACAGCGTTATTATAAGGCATATTCTAACTGTAGGCCTAAATGGAAAATAAAATATCTTGATGCTTTGAACTGAATCTTATTAAGGAAGGATACGATGAGGAGTGAAATCGATTGACAATGGAATTTACTCATGAAGTATTGCCGTGCAACAACCAGGTAAGCAGCAACAGATTGATTTCGACAAAATCGACTTCGAAGGATACAAGTATTGGCTATCGTCAAAGTTGCACTGATATTTGGCAGACTTTGTTGCGGTGCGGTTATATCTCATGTCCTGGCATAACGATGAGCTTTGTTGGAAGATCCAACTCATGCTCCAGATTCATTGAGTTTATTTGAAACGGACTTTCCTGGTTCTTGCACCTGACGTCAATTCTCCGAATGAGACGAGTGCGGAAGAGTGGAAGTTTACCTCGATGGTGATAGTGAAGTCTGGTGGTATCACATCGACACTTGGGGAGATTCCCTCGGGCACAGGCTTGGGTTATCGCGTAAGCCATCCCTGCACTTTCAATCCCCGTCGCAAACGCCGCTTCTCGGCTCCCTATCCATCACAAGCTCCAAATTAGTTCTCTCAAAAGTGCTTGAGTTTAGGGAATTCTGTCAATATCCCCATATTATATTGGACGTTTTACAAAACTTTGAAGTACGATCTCCGAAACGTTGCGTGCTTTTCTGGAAGACCCGACAACTTGCTGGTAAAAATATAAAAATACATACAGGATACAGGAAAATAACGTAGGTCTATCTAGAGTTTCATCTCATCGCACTTTCATAGGATTGGAAAGACAGATTCTTGCCTTACATGTCATCGAGTACCCTCAACCCAACCCAGTTCCTGTAAGCAGTGGACTCTGTGATATGTCGCTCTTATGGACGTCAGCGATAACAGGCGTTCAGTTTTGAAAGACACTGCCACGTAGATGTCATGCATTTGCATATATACCTTAGGGAAACGGATGCATGGTATTGATTAAAAGGATAAGAAAAAACCTGAGTAACAAAAAAAGGGATATTTACTGCCCCCTCATCTACCCTGAGCGTGATTTATGAACCGGATCGAGTCAGGGGGAACCGGAATTTCCTGGAAACGGAACTCGGCCAGGGTCCCTGACATGCAATCTTCTGCTCCTCCTGTCTCGTCGGTCATCCCTTTTGAAAAGTGGAAACTTTTTGTCTTCCTTCCCCGGTGGTCCCTGGGCAATTGAGGCCGAAAGACCAATTTTCCCTTCACGTTGACAATTTACGAACCGCTTTCCATTTGGGAGGGGAAGGGAAAATAAAAGGGGGCAAAAAACGACTAGTACGTAGAAATCGAGTGCATGAGCCCACGCCGAAACGTGAAGCTATGAGTGAAGCGAAGTGGATGAGAGATGAATCCGGGAGTGATTCATGAAGCAATGAAGGGATCCCGCAGAGATTGCGATTAGACCCCGGGGTCTTACCCAGCCGAAGAGCACTGGAATGTGCCAACAGATCGGTATCCAGGGAGCAGTTCCATCGCCGATGACGAAACAGTCGTTGGCATTCCCCGAGGGCGAGCCTCGAGCCTTGACCTGCGGCCACCATGGTATCAGGTGCACTACGGCACATGTTTCGTTGAAGTTCTGTCAATCCCGGTATCCGGGCGCAGATGGCCCACGCCCATTTCCATTCTCCCTCTGTCTCGACGGCCTCCATCGCCATCGCCTCCATCCAAAACCTGGCAAACGGGAGACAATCGTTGCAGTTTTCCACGTCTTTCCAGGTTTTTACCTTTTCTTGTGCCACCAATGCATCTTCTCTGTGCATTTGACTCGTCTTATTGAAGAGGAAAAAGAGGGAGTGATCGTCTTTATGTAGTTGCCCTTTTCCCCATCCATTCTTTCCACGGGGAATAATAAGGCTATAAAAACCTCTCTTTCTTCTCCCTTGGGATAATGGAGAAGGAAGACAAACGCTGTCAGCATGCAGATCACAAGCGGAGCCACATTCCCCTCAGGTAGAATAGAGGGATTTTTCCCATGCATTTTTTTCCTTTCCCTCTCTCTTGCCTTCTCCGAATGACGCTCAAAATGGGGATGTATCCATTTCGATACCGTGACGTAATTAATAGCGGGGGGGGGGGGGGGGGGCAAAGTAACCAAAGGGGGGTGGGGGGGGGTGTTGGGGGGGGGGGGGGGGGGGGGGGGGGGGGGGATGCAAAGTAACCAAAGGAGGGAAGGCTAAGGGCGGATGTACACATGCATCTACGGATATCCTCTCGGTACTTTTGACACGAGGATGCCAATGAAATCGTTTGTGTGGATTCTCTTTGACAATTTCTTCCCTCCCTTTTTCTTCCGCTTCACACTTCTCTCACTCTCTCTTCCACTGGAGGCGACCGGGTCGATGCAGGAAGACGAGAAACTGACCCGAAAAGGCAAAAGACGACGACGACGACAAGGACGTGCAAATAGGACAAGTTGCGATGGGTTGAAGATGAGGGAGGTTGGGTCATGACTCCATCGAGAAAGTGTCACATCACGAGATGGAGTCTCACTCGTCACGTTTCACTGCAGCGCGTTCCCGTAGACGCTGTCATGGTGAGGCACTCGACGTCGATTGTTGCTGCTGTTGGGGACTGGGGGAAGAAGGAAAGGGGGGCGGGACCGGGGGCGGGGCTCTTCTCTCTTCCCCATCCATTCACTTCAACTCACAGGGTTTCGTCTTTTCCTTCTTCCTCCTCATTCCCCTCGTTCGGGGAATGTCTTATGGACGATATTAAATTCATTTTAGAGCCGATTCAAAATAGAAGTTAGGCCGGGCGCGTGCCGTGATAGCGAACTCAATCTGCTTGTCCCACGAGCGCCAAGCCCTTTCTCATGGTTTTATTCCCCACCCGCGATCTTCATTGCCTTTTTACTTTCACTCAAATTTAACCTTTTCGCAAACCTCATGCTCAATTGGGCTCAGGGACCAATAACTTTTTTTTAAAGTTTATTTGCGTAAATTTCTTCCATAAATTCAGTCATGAAGCACTTTTCCTGAAGCAAGGGATCCACTCAGACATTGTCAATCTAATAGTAGCTATGGCAAGCGATTAGTAGTCTAATTGATGGCCATGCCTACTTTTCTTTATTTTTATAGCTTCCATGCCTACTTATATTTTTCTTATACTTTTCTCTACTCTGAGGATCTCACCAGTACCGGCTAAGTATTGACACCTCCTGAGGATTAAAAAAAAAGAAGGTATGTTAGAATAATCGATGTGTACTCTTGTTAGTGCCAGCCACGAACTTCTCACTCAACAGAACTATCCCCTTTTATTCGAAGCATCAGGGCACGTATTTATTAATTTTTCTAACCATAACCTGGAATTCAAGAAATTCAGGTGACAATTTTTGAAAGGTAGTTTCCATGAATCTGTCTGGCTTTCATAGTCAAAGTTGTAATCTCAGGGTGGATTTTTGAACAGAGCACTATCCGATAATGCAGCTTTATTTACCGGATTTATAATGCATTTTCTCTGAAATAAAGCAGCATTATCGGATAGTGCTCTGTTCAAAAATCCACCCTCAATGTCCTTATATGAATAATTCTGAATTTAGAATACTCAAATTTGATTAAGTTATTACCATTCTTCACATAGTAAACATAACAACCCATTTGAACCTCCGGGCCAATATGGCTAACTGCGCGGATACTCCCATATTTTGCACCATGGCCGTCAGGATTTTGAAGAATGAAAACATAAGGATTGCGAATACGTGTGAGAAGTTTATTGGGTGTCATAAATTTCCATGGAGAGCCTAACCAAGGTGATGATCAGGTATTCGGATGTTCTCAAAGGAAGTACGTGCTTTATAGTATCTCTAGTTTTCGGGCAGGTATACTGATTGGTGCTTGATAACTTTCCTTCATTCCTGAATGTATCATTTAGGTCCGGGGTCCTCCTCAATCATTTGATTGCGAAAGGGGAGAGGGCTGTAAAGTCTGTCACAATTTACTGGGTGGCCCAGAATGCTTGCCTCTACGGTCCAACTCGATAGGTTTAGGTTTCATTTAATCGTTCCGCTACGTAGTGTTAATAAACATTTTTTCATTTGCAGAATGTTTAATCATGGATCGTATTTCAAACGAGAATGAGCCTTTACGTGTTAAAACACCATATGACCGTTGTTTGACGGATTGTCAATGATGAAGTACATCTCCCTAACTTAGCAGCTATCAATTTTCCTGTAATGGAAGTTGCAGCTTCATCAATGGCGCAAACAGCTCAAAAGGTCGGAGGGGGGGGGGGGGGGGGAAGTTTCTACGACCTGCCTTTCAAATGTCTCTGGATGCAAGAAAGCTTTATCAATCACCAAATTATTCGTTGCACAAACCTAAAGCGACATGGAACACACGCCAATTCTTCCAGGACGTCATTTGGGTTCACAAATATACCTCTATGCTCAGGGTGTCCCATTATTCACTCTACCATTTCAAAAGCTAATATTTTCTCAAGTACCGAAAGCGTGTTGATGCAATTAACATCGATGGATGGCTGGTTTAGTTTTTCTTCAAACGAACCAGCAAATCGTAGCAAACATAATTTTCATTAAATGTATTAAATCTTGTTTAAGTGCAGAAAGAGTATTATTTTTCAGATAAAAAATTTTTGGAATATACAAAGAATTTTCCAGGATATTCCTGATTCCTCACGCTTTCCTCCCATTTTGTGTAAAATTAATATTGTTAATAAAATTAATTAATATTGGTATCTGAATTTTGCTTGCTGTCGTGAGAAATGGCTTGACAATTGACATTGTAGCAACGAAGAAATGTCATCTGAAATGAAAGCTGGAGGACCAGATTCGTGCAGAAATGGCAGACATTCCAACGCACATTTTGGAGAGAGCCTTCGAGTGTGCAATTATACGCTGGGCATAATGCATTGAGATTTATAAAAGTGCACCTTGGCAAAATGGCCACAAGTAGCAAAAGTAGTACTAGCAGTAGCATAATACATTTTATCGACTTGATAAATAAGCCCAGTTTGTGCCCATAAGAAAATTATGACTGCATTTCTAATTTAGAAGTGAAATGAAGCAACATTTTATTAAATGGGGTAAACGGAATTCAAACAGGAAATGAAGCAGATTCGATATCTGAAAATATAAAAAAGCGAAAGAAAAACGAAAGAAATAAATTTCGAGACCCAGTCCAGATTTCACTCCGCAGACATGCATTTGGAAATTCGCTTTCTGTACGTGATTCTTGCCCTTCATTCGAGTTGTCGTTCATCTTCCGTTTTCTGAAAAAAAAATTAAATGGCTTCACGTGTGCTGGACGCTTCCGTGACATTTTCTATCATTTTACTCAAGCGAGTAGCCACTTGTGACTGGAGCCACTTCATCTTCAACCTCTCTGAACTCATAATCTTTGCCGCTTTCAAGCCTCACTCTCAGGTAGTTTCCTCGTGATATTTCTCTAGGTCCCCCCACCCCTAGGGGAGAGGGGGGATCGGAGGAGCAGAGGGTGAGCATGGGCAGGGGTTGGAGGGGGGGGGGGGGGGGGGGGGGTTCTGACCCTCTGATCTCCCCCACCTTCGTTGTGCCACTGAGCCTCATTGCTGGCAGTTTTCCAAGCAGTAGTCAGACAGCAATGTGTAACACGTGGAGGGTCATTCGTTTAAAACATCAGCCATGATCAAACAATTATCAATGGGAAAATATTGAATATATAGAACATTATGCCGCAGAACTCTTACCTTGAACTTGAGCTTAACATTTCTCAAATCCCCGTCCTCGGTAGCGATGTGCATTAGCATATCTTTTGCATCGCGCTGAATATTCACATCATAGGATGAGAACGGGGGGCGGACATTCACAAAATACATTTGCTTATTGCATTTGCGTCGAACAGTATGCTGTGTCATTCATTGGAAGAGCTTGGAAAAGTTTTACTTGAGAGCAGTGACAGCAAAAATAATGTTTTTGCCTCAGCCTCAACCCATCAGGTTCTGACGAGTGTCACTAACCATCATTAAACCTCTCCTTGGAAGCTGCGATTTTCAGCAAAATATTGTAGGAGTTTCCTCTCTTGGGAACCTGCAGCCAGAACCAGGATATGTTTAATTATCATTTGAAGGATCTGTCACTCGTTTAGCATTTTTATGAGGGAGGATTGTCCAACACTTCCCTGTACATGACATTGGATGTATACAAATACCCTTGGTTATCTTTCGCATGACGCAAAGCTGCCCTCAGGCATTATTCGTAGACATGGGTAATGTAGGACGAATAGGAAACGACTATCTCCGAAGTTAGGAAGGTAGATCAGTAATTGAAGGCATCGAGGACGATGCGAGGGATGAGAACTCATTTTTGCATCTGCCATCAAGAATTCCGGCTTTCGGAATGCGATCCTTCATATTGACGATCATGAGAATTGTTCGATTTTGTATGCCCTTTGAGGGTTGAAAGTTTCTTGGAAGCACAACTGGTTGACATTTTTTTTTTATAGAAAAACAGGCGACGTGGAGGCATCCCTGATGCAGTTAGCTGATTCAGAACCACTGTGGGAAAAATGGGATAAGGGCTTATGCATTTAACCCTTTCGTTTGTAAAAATTTGGCACTCCTTATCTTCAAGTTCTGGAAAGACGGCTTGTTTTATCCATTTATAGTTTTTTGAGGCTAGGATTTCCCAGGAGAAAGTGCAATTTAAATAAACGATAAACCCGTTATTTCCAGAATTGTCTAATCCAAAAGAGGCGTTATACAGGGATCCACCTTTCTAAAGGAAAGTGAGTTGCATATACAGGATGATCTAACGAGAGATACCCCACTGATTTCTTATGGGAAGAATATAATACACTAACTTTTTTTAATATCCATATTTTAATTTGTTTTTAAGTGAAATGCTGTTGTGATAGAAATTGATGGAAGACTCGCGGAAGCTTAAAACTGACTGTTACAGGCCAAGTGTTCTATTTAACTGATGTAATTTTGTATCGTTAGTGTATTATATTCTTCCCATAAGAAATTAGTGGGGTATCACTCGTTGGATCAACCTCTATATGCAACTCACTTTCCTTTAGAAAGCTGGATTCCTGTTAAACGCAGTAACGCAAATTGTGTTCTTTCATCTTATTTTTCCGAAATTGAGGAATTTTTCTTCTTTTTTTCGCTGTCATGATATCAGCAATCAGCTAATTGCTGACTCCTTCTTATACGGGAGAGGGGGGGAGGGGGGGGGGGGAGGAACACTCTTACCGAAGCGGCTCTTTGTTTACTAGACTGTGAGTTGCAACAGAATGTTATATTAAAGTGTGGCTTGCCAAACTTGGGAACGATGGCCATAACATCTTGATTCTATTTCACAACGCGATGCAGTTCAACAATAGACGAAAGGAAGTGTGTCGTGTCCGTCAGCAGTTGCTTCAGCAGTTTCTCATGCACGGCATCTTTGAGACCAGTGGAAAGTTTGGGGTAATTCAATCTCCAGTCTTTCTTTGTAAAGACAGTGCGCACGATAGTATAGTTTATTATACGATGATTAATAATATAATATTGTCAGCACTATACAATACTACAATCAATAACAGTACAATTCTAATATAATAGTAATGTGCCATGGTAATATGTAATATGAGGGAGCCTAGCTTGCAAAATTTCACTGGAATAACGGAGAGGTCACCCCTGAGATGTCTACGCGCTTGTGTTCAACAATAAATCACGCGAATGTATTGGAAAGGGCAACAAAACAGCTTTAAGTTGTATCAAGTATTGATTCGGGAGATTTCCTTATTGATGGTGATGTCGCTGATGAACCAGAAGGCTCAGACTGAACTGGGTGGAAGACGGAGAATGTAATGATGAGCGAAGGAAGTTCCATAGAAACGGCAAGAGGGAAGGACATTTTGATTATCTCAACGAAAACTGGAGGTTGTTCCAGGTCTTGCTTCACTCGTTCAAGCACTTTTTGGCACCTCTACTGAATTTAAGACTTGTGCAGTCACATCTGGCACGTACCTACGACCGGTTTCGATAAGAACATAGTAAAGTAATTGAAGAATAATATAGTGAGCTATATGTTATAATCTATCTATTGTATATCGTACTGTTAGACCCAACACCTACATACCGTCTGGATCGCAGCTAGTATCGTGGCGTTGCTCCATAGTTTAGCCTGCGGATGAGCGACGGGGAAGTAAGTATATTGAAAGTACAGAAAAGTATTTTTCATTGAAAAACCAATAGGGCTACCTATAGGTAGCCCTAGTAAATCCTAGAGGATCGATTCTGCAAAGTGAGGCGCCGATGGACCTATCTTGGTTTGACTGTTCAAGTATGAGTTTCGAGTACTAAGCTAACGCCGAGGCCTCGAAGAGATTTTCAGATGCCTGGAGCTGGACATCCCTGAATGAATTCACCACCATCGCTCTATGTGCTGTCACGCTAGACGAGCGAGGGGGTTCGCTGCTGAGCGAGTTGGTAGAGGATGCGAAGGGTCATCAACTTCCTCGAATCCTTCTAACTTGAATTTCAATGGAAGCTCTGAACTCTGTCGACTCAGAATAAACTTCACCGACTCATTGAGAGTGGTCCATATATCAGTGGCAGTGAGCAGTACATATCATGCCATTTATATGTATGCCCTGTGTAAAACGCACCTGCCAAAGTATATTTCTATCCTTGGACGTTAGCCCATCCAGGGTTCCGGCCCCGTCAAATGTTTATGTTGCGGACCGGCATTCATATTGTGTGGAGAGTTGCAACTCAGAAATGCAGCTGTTGCACCTGTCTACGGCCTTTTTCCGTCTAAAGAACTAAGAAGTCGTTGCAAATTCTTGCAGATGCAGCATGCTCATAAAAGTGCACTAAAACGTCAATTATGTTGACTTCCTTTGACTCAGATACCCAGTTTCCTCTAATGAAAGTGATGCGGCTCGCTTCACTTCGATACGATTCTGTACCCTATCCTTGTCCTGAGTGCCGAAAATTAGTTTAAATGGCGTACCAAGTCTTCACCCGTCAACGCAATATGCACCTGGCAACCAAGACTGAAAAGTACCGAGAGCAATTTTTTTTTAGAGACGGAAACGTGCCACGGACATACATGCTAAAATACCTTCTTTACTTTATGATACCCCGAGAGGAGGGGACGCCTGCTTGCTCCAACCACCACACCCGGTTACAGGCCCTTAGGCATAGACGCCCCTCCATGGACCTCTGGGTGGCCTTAGCTCGCGGATTGCTAAGGCCCACGACTGTCACGAGTGGTTCCTAATGTTTACTACACACGTATCACCTAGACGTGGCACGCAGAGTGACGTGTGCGTTGCCCTGGCGCTAGAGGGATATTCCTCAGGCAGATGACTCGCCTGTCTGCGGGAACGAGCCAGTACTATCGTCCCGCACATCCCGGGTCCGACTCGTATGCAATTCGCAACCACTCGGTCACCGAATCCAGTAATGGTGAAAGTACTTAAGACTACTTATGATTTTAAATTCCGCAGGATTCCTTTGAACATGAAGGAAATGATTCGATACTAATAGCCTCTACTGATCCCTGAAGCTTGTTTATTTTTAGTGTCATTCAGTAATATAAGATGTAAGGAGGTACTTGCCAAAATATCAAATAAAATACGCGAACAAAGTTCTCTGATACAAAACAGAATAAGTGCATGAGGTCATGCCTCCAAAAATCAAGAACAGCAAAACTTGAGCCGACTTCAGACGTGGCAGTTTTTGAGAAATTCTTGATGGAAGCGATAAAAATAGAAGCGTGAGAAATAGGTAAAGAATGGCAAAGAATATGAGAAAGCAAGCGAGAACGAAGTTGTTCCTGGATCCATTTTAACTCGGGAAGAAAGAAAATTTGCTTTGCAAAAAATTGATTGCCCCGTGTGAAACGGCCGGGCAACTTCTCGTTTTCCGTTTTCTCGCTTTATGTCTATTAAAATGGGGCGAGTGTACCTACTCGGCCGTATAGACACTAGCACTATGTTAAAATTTTGGATGAAATACAGAGTATTCCTAAAGTTTCTGACCCACTAAAATCAAGTTGAAGACGACATTAACGGTAATATATTGATTTAATTACATTCCACATGGCCAAGAACACCCTAGGTAATAACTCCTACATCAATACTTGAATGACTTCCGCGGACCTCCAGAAATCTCGGATCAGCTTCCCGAAGCTCTCAACCAACCGACGGATGACCCTCGTCGCGTTGGTTTCTCACTCCCTTAAAAATCTCGTGAATGACTGATTTATTGGGTGGGACTGACGCAGAGGAATCTGCTGGAATCTATGCCATAGGTGTTCCAGCTGTTGAGGCCCGGACAGTCCCTCGGTAACTTCTAGACCTGCAGATCACATGGATCTTCGTGTAGCCCGTGTATATAAGCAGGATGTTTTCACGGTGGCTGGCATAACATTTAGCCATATTCTGTGTGGGTGGATCAGAAACTTTCGAACACCCTGTATATGTGAGTGCGCGTTGATACTCTCTTGACTGTGGTGACGGCTCTCTCGGATTTAATTGGGCATCACTCCTTGGACTTCCCCGCAGGATTCCTCCGCGTAAGACAAGCTAGAAGCGCGAGAGCAATCGAGAATTTTCGAAAAATTGCCTCGTCTGAAATGGGCTTTATGGGCATAAGAATCGTCCTGAGAATACATGAAGGACTCAAAAGTATTCTGTGTCCTGCTCTCCATGGTAATTGATCTCACACATTGAACTTTTCCCGAATCCTTCATTCGCAATCCCTGTTGGGAACTCCTTACACATCATAGACTGGTATCTCTCTTATAGCCTGATCCTTTACAAGTCACAAAGTTTCAATAGCACCATAGATGGCTATTCCAGCTAGAGTTGCTATTTGATAGTAATTGACAAATCACTTGTAAACATTGAACACATCAGCATCACATGCCACCGACCTAACTAAAAAAAAATACGAAAATAGAAATGCAGTTGACTTTGTAAACCATTACTACAGCCCGAACAATTTTTCACAACTTTTACTAGCCAGGATAGATATTTCCTTGTCCTGCCCTCTTGAAGGGCAAAAACACAGTTCCTGCACAGATAGACCAATGTCAAGATATGTCTAGGGTATTACATTGGGTGATGGAAACTTGTACAACAGGGTAGGGTAGTTGACAGTTATTTAATAACTTTTGCTCACCAAACCCCCAAACATACTTGCTGCTGGAGAGTGTGAATTTTACAGGACTGCATTTGAATAGAATCAACTACAAAATCAGTGGATTTTATTAGGCATAACAAAAACATAAGAACAGTTACTGATGGTACATTAAGTGCAATCCAGATGATCCTGTGGCATTTTGTCTGCTTCCATAAACTCCCTGTATACATCACAGCCTGCAAAGAAGACAACAGAGGTATTATTTTTCCAACAGTGATCTTTCTCTAGTAAAGTCCTGGCCAAAACATTTTACACTTTTTTTTTTTACTACTTACAAGGGGTGTTGGAAAGTAACCAGATAAATATAAAAAAAATAGTTACTGCCTGTTATCCGAAACATGAAACTTGGTACTAACATGCTAACAAGTCCAATTGAGTGGAAGTTCTAAAAATATGTCAAATTGTGATGGCAAGGGGCACTGCAGAACATGCAACTTCACAACTATGCTGAGATAGTAGAGGAATTAGAGGAATGCATGTGTCATCAAACTTTTTCCAAAACATGGGTGAACTGCTAGAAATATTTCCAGATGCCAGGATAAACAGATCATGTGCTGAGTACATGTTTGTGTACAGTTGAACTGGTTTAAAGACAATTATCTCACTGTGAATGATGCACTCCATGTAGGATAGACAATAGGTATGATTACCAATATTCACTATTCACAACCTCTACATCGCTAATAAGAACTTTACTAGGCACTAGTTCAAGATTGCTAATGGATATGAGTACTGTACCTTTAATATGACAATAAAAAATAAAAAGAAATACAACCATTTGGATGAGTGACATTGCATCAAGGGCAAGTTTTCCCCAGATAAGCAAATGTATCAATGAGAATAAGGAACTGGAGTTCAGCTGTACAATTGCATTTTTATGCAAAGATTCCTTCATCACAGATCATATTTGCTTCAAGACATTTTGGTATAGATGCCACCATCTTTTCCCTATTGCTGAAAATCTAATTTAACTCTTATGACCATTTCTCAGAATAGAATGAACATTTTGTGGCTAAAACTTCATTGAATTCAAAATATTGTGAAAGTCTCACAGAAACATCAAGGAAGCTTTCCCTTCTCCTCTTTTTATAGTTGGTTTGGGGTGCTGGCTACTGCTGGTTATGGTTAATATGTTTTGTTCTTGGAACCCCATCTCAGACTATTATTTGCATGAAAGAGCCATGTCAAAAAAGTACACGTGTTCAGGTACTCTCTCTGTAATCATTGCTGACAAACTTTTTGGAGCAACTATAGGTGAGGATATCCCCATATAATGAAGCACAAAAGTGACAAAAAATGCAAAATGAAGAATGCTTTGTGTTGTTCTGTGGTATGTGCACTAGACACTGAGTTTCAAATATACAGAAGGTGGCACAATAAATGATAATTTGACTTGCCTTAGAATATTTTAACATGAATCTGATGTCTCAGGCTGCATCTTTAACAGAAGCCTTGAGAATACGAACATCATCAATCGGTCGATCATTGGAATCTGTTCCAACCAACCCAATTCTTTTCACAACTCCCATCCCTGAGTAGACTCTCCCTGCAACACAATCATCATAAGTAAGCAACACTCATCACTTGAACTATACTGAAACCTAGTCTAACATACAGACCAAAAATTGTATGCTTCCCATCAAGCCACTGTGTTGGGGCAAGGGTGATGAAGAACTGAGATCCATTAGTGTTGGGTCCAGAATTGGCCATGCTCAGAATTCCTGCACCTATTGGTACATGCGAAATGAGTAGAATGAGGCTTATCATAATAGTAGGCCGTACAAAGCACATATTAAAATAAAATGAGCATGAAGTACAAGCATAAGCCTTTCTTGTATTACTCCCATGCATCATAACTACAGAATCTCAGCAATGTAAAAAAAAAAAAAGTCACAACCTCAATCAAGTGATAGCCATTACTCAACAAGGCATTTTTCCCTGAAACTTTTTTTCACAAATGGAAATGAGCAAGAGGAGATTTGCATTGCCTGACAACTTACAATTTATTAATTAATGATAAAAATAAATTATTGTTCACAATTTGAAGCTGAACCACATAAAAAAAAGCAGTCAATATTGTGATTGCTCATAATTATATGTCTAAATACCAAGGCAACTCAACCAAGGTGATAAAATCATGCAAAATTTACTATAAGAAAAAAAGAAGTCTAACATTACCTGTATGTCTGAGATCAGGGTGGACTTCATCCTCAAAATTTCTGCCATAAATTGAGGCACCTCCTCGTCCAGTACCAGTTGGATCCCCTCCTGTAATGTCACAAGGCCAAAAATTGCATGCCATTTATAAAAGTTTTCACTCCTATTTTCTGTCAAAAATGTAAGATATACAGCATGCAAAGACTAAAAGACTACCCACATGCAAAGACTAAAAGGAAGCATATATATACCCTGTGATATTCAGTGACATTTTTCTCTGATTCACCATGAATTTGCAGATGGTTCCCTTGATATTTAAATCTTTGCTTCATGAAAGAATGGGGAGGATACATAAAACAAGTGTAATTTGGTTCATCCCCTGCATTAGAAGTCAGATTTATAACATTTACCAGTTCATACATCAGGTCTGCTTGAATTTGGAACAGGACAAGCCTATGAAACTCATGTCTACTGATTATGTCCTATAAGTTGCACTTGAACAGATACCTGGTGAATACCATCAGGAAAGTGACTGGAAACCTACTTTTTGGTTTTAAATCTTTATTTCCACTTTGGTGAGGCAGACATATTAATAGTAAAAAAACCAGAATTGAAATTTAAAAATACCCTAAGAGAGGCAACATGCAAGACTAAAGCAAAACCAAGCTAGGGAAGACTGATAGAAGCCTATTTGTGCAGGAAAAAAAAAGGAAGGCCTGAGGCTGAAAGCAGGGAAGGAAATAAGATTTGAATTTGTTATAGAGCAGTCAGATGTAATAAAAATGACTACTTGAAGAGAGATCCTGTGTTTTGACCAACTTGTTCCTCATTCCTTCATTGACATGAAATGTTATTTCTCCCAGATGATGCTGGGCCTTATGCATTCAGCTTTTCAAGAGTCTGCTGAAACCATGAAGGCCCATATATGGACTATGGCAATGACTAGCCTTTTCCCTTACTTTGCTTTTTAGTATATGGCATTCTAATGTAAACCATTCAACCGATGCATGTTAATTTACATATGATCATACCATTTCATCTCAAGAATAGCCTGGACATTTAATTTCCAGAGCTTGTCAATTTTGAGAGACAATGCCAACCATGAGAATACCAGCATAATTTTTATTTATTTATCAAAACAGCCCTGATACCAAAAAAATTACTGCTTTCCTCATAATAAAACACATGTGCTTACCCAAATCACAAGAGAGTGGTCAATAATAAAATCTGAGGTAGGAGCAAGTAGACTTAAAAGCGAAACATGTTTGAGTCATGAAAAGCACAAGAACTTTATAAATAAAATTCTGCCCCTCCATTAGCATCTTGGAGCAAAGTGAAGCATATTCCCAATGTCATGACAAGGAGAAAGTGGAATTAGGCCTATGTTAACATAATCAATGAGTGAAATTCATCATGCACAGAAATTGGAAAGTGAAATTTTGCACTCACCTTGTAACATAAAATCCCGAATGATGCGGTGAAATTTACTTCCATCATAATAGCCCCTTCGGGCCAATTCAGCAAAATTTCTGCATGTTATGGGTGCGTGTTGCCAGTATAATTCCAACAATATTTCGCCCATTCTGTAGAGACAAGGGCATTAAGTACAAAACATGGCATTGAGCTTTAAAAAGAAAATTTCATTCAGTTTCAATACTTGAGTTGTTTAAATATGTAGAGCTGTCACTTGGGACAGTTTGCTATTCATTTTTCAATTTTGTGGAAGAAGGTATCAGTAGTAACAAGGCATTGCTAATTGCTTGGGTATGGAGAAAGGGGAAAGTGCTGCTTATGAAGTTTTGGAAAGCTGAAAGGAATAGAGCCAGGAGAGAGATTCGATTCTGTAAAGCAAGGACTGTGTGACTGCATCTCTTGAATCCTAAGCATTTTCCCACCCACGACATTGAAAAAAGGCTAGACTTTACGACATAGGCCTAAGTCGAGATCTTCAATTCGCAGAACTCACGCGGTGTTGAGGGCGACATAAGGTGGTTGCCAGGTCTTGTCGGGAATTCCAGCCATCCCTGTTATAAATCAAGGTTTCCTGTCTGCTGTCGTTACGGAGTAAATACTGGCTCTATAGTAATTCCACCTGTTTTAAGATGATAATGACAACGGCGGCAAAATCCTACTGTAACACGTGCCGTTGGGGGCTTTTTTTTTATTACAGGTTTCTGCGACATCTATGATATGAGCTCTAAATGACCTTCTACAAACATGGGAAGGAGATGGAGGAAGCAAAACGCTTGGGCCATTGCATGTCAAAAACGTCTAGTCTTCGCTCGGCCTTCACAGATTTCCTTGAAAAAATGCATGGTCTTAATCTTTGACCGGTGAAGAAGAGAGAAAAGCGCAGGATAGGGGCTTTCTAATGATATGTAACCCATAACTTGTAATTAACAAATATCAAAATATACCAAATCTTTTCTAGTTTTCACCCACCGTAAGCAGACTTAAAGGAATGGTTACAACAGCAGGTTACAAAAGTTAGACTTTCTTGCTCTCATTTCTGAGAGATGCTATTTATGTTGACATTTTTTTATCATCCAGGAAGCAGGAAAGATAGAAGTTAACAATTAACTGTTTGTCGTATTTTGGCGCAATTAGTCCATGAGGTGGTTGAGTTTTCATAGTTCACTTCTATATATACTGTATGTAAATGTAATTTCTTTCCTTTTGCAGTGATGGTTTCAGTGTTACTTGACAATATACTTCAGCTCATTAAAAAAAAAAAAACAAAAACAGTTTTCTGTTTTTCTGGATCAAGTCAGAAAGGAAATAATTAGTCTTGGCAAGGGTGACCAGACATTTGGGTTTTTGGTGCTCCATCCTGTTTTTGAAAGTGTCCTAGGGTCTCAGTTTTCGAGTTTAACAACTTAACATTGAAGACAGAGTTTCTCAGCTGTTGCCCCTGTTACTTCTTCACTTTTCATCCGCCTCCGTTTGTCCTTTCTCTCAGCAAGGCAGCATAGATTTTAAGTGGCAAAGGGAGATATTCTAATCTGACCTCAGGTGTTCCAGTTTTTCAATCTGCAAGGTGACCCTGGGAATTAATTTCCAATGTCCTGGTTTTTGCTAAGAAAAATATGATTGCCCTGGACTTGGTTGATCCATGAATTTGCATATCATCACCATAGTTCAGAGGATAGTGTTCAGGTGCACCCATATGTGTAAGCCTACAAACACAAATGTAATATACAGGGTGTTCCATAAATTAGTTTACTGAGGGATTTTTAGCTGTTCTCACTTTAACTAATTTAATTAATGTTGTGTGATATTGTTTTGTTAACAGCCATTATTGTTAAAAGTTAGTATTTTCATTCAAGGTGAAGGAAGATGCATGCTCAAAAACTTCTTCATGACATTTAAATTAAGAACAAAGTTAAGAAGAATTTAGCATAGCTGAAAACCCTTTGGTAAACTGACTTATGGAACACCCTGCATACTACCCCCAAAATATTGATATACTAAATGGATATGGGGTTTGACCAAAACCATATCATGATATCTGCAAGCAGTATTTCAACCATACAAAATTCATGTTGGCTCATGCACTTATACCACATGTTGCCCAAGTAAAGCATGTCATGCCTGTTATTTTAAGTCATATACAAGGGGAGGTGCAAAAGTTTGATTGTACTCATTAAAAAAATTACGCCACGTTTTTCACATTTACATCTGAAACGTTATTCTTTCCTCACTTCTCAACATAATCACCGCTGATCTCGATACATTTTTTCATGCGATATATCCACTTTTTGGAAACACTTTCCAATTTTCAGAAACAGAACATGATTTTTTGCATAGTTCATTTGAGAAAGTGGGCAGCGCCGGCCGACCACCCTCACGCAAGCGGCTATTTCTCGTCTCCATTGGTCTCAATTGGACTTTTGCACCTCCCCTCGTACATGGTTTCAATACATGGCTTCATATCTGCACAGACACAGGGTTGGACTGGCAGCCCCCCACCCAAAATGGGAGGGGAAGGAGGAAGCCAAAGGCCCCAGACCAAAAGACCCACCTTCCATTTTGGGTGGGGCCTTTCGTCAGGGCCCCCCCCCTGACGAAAGGGAAATTTCCCAGTATCCCAGTGGGTCAGTCCGACCCTGTACAGACTAAACATAAGGAATTGTGGCAGTCTCCACCTATTCTACTCATATCTGGTAGACAGAAAGTAACAGAGATATTCAAATTTTGGTCATGGGGAACATGGACACTTAACTAGTATTCTGTCTTATTTCATAAACTCATTTCATTTCTTTTAAGATGGTACGGGAAGGAAAATCGATGGGTCTGGGATTCAAAATTTTATCCGTAATTCTTATGTAGGGGGTCTCACAAAACCCAGAAAGCACTTTCTTACCTCCCTATCACTTTTACTTAAGCCATAAGTC